AAGTGAACATTGATGTTAGGTGTAGGCAAATCGAACTGACCAGTTCCAGGATGTGTATCATAGATTCCATTGATGGTCATTATCTAAATCTGCTTAACCACCCTTTTGACTGATGGAAACATTGAAACTACTAGCTGAGGGCTTACAAATGCCAAAAGAGACGGGTTAATTACTGTTGTTTCTGGAGTTCAAGTGAGAAGTTTTGAGCAATGTAGATACACCTTGTCAGGTGTGAAACTGTTATCCACCGAAAACAATAGATGATAGCGCAGTACCGTGAATTAATTCAAGTTCGACATTGACACTGTTGGACACTGACTCGGTGGTATACAGATTAGGCATTTGCCCGCAAGCTTGAATGTAGTGTGTTCGATTCTCACGTGTTTGTGCAAGGATGCGCACTGTCGAGGAGTTCCATATTATAACGGAATGGCTGTTCAGTGCTCCCAGGTTTTCAGTGGTGGTTTGACATTGATAGTGTGTAATTTCCATGATGCTCAAAACTGGTTGACATTTACTGGTGCGCTGCTTGGAATAACAGCGTGGACGGAAGTAATTGATCATTGAATAGATGTAACAAATACCTTGTTCATCTAGTCATCAGTACTAACCGAATCCCACCGACCGAGTTATACTGTGGTCAATAGTTATAGTTACTGGGCGACAAGCATACTATATGTGGATTTTAAATGGTTCGAGATAATCACTGAAATGCCCAGAAACTATGTTCTGTGTTAGTTGGTACTTATTACGTACTTACTTACTGACGCCTGTTACTCCTCGTGGAGCAGCATTGGCTGCCCAACAAGATACGGAATTGAACTCTATCCTGAGCAACTCCTTCCAGTAGTTTCCAGTTGCTGTTCATCCTTTTGATGCCTGCTTCCAATTCTCTGTACAGTGTGTTCTTTGGACTTCCTCTTTCCCATTTCCCTTCAGAATTCCAAGTTAGCGCTCGCATCGTGATCCAGGTTGGTGATTTTTGCAACATCTCTCCATAATTTCATCTTCAGATGGAAGAAGATTTGTTCTCCTTCTTAGTAGGTTGTTGCTGTTGTTATCCGATCAAAGGACATTCAGTATCTTCAGTAGACAACTATTTAGAAATTACTGTACACATTTGATGATGGTTGTAGTAGTTCTCCAAGTTTCAGATTCGCACAATAGAACTCAATCAATTGACATTCGTATTGCAAATTCTCAATTTGATGTTTTGAGTTGTAAATGTTCTTCAGTTGTGGGGATGCTGCCCTTGTCTCACAAATTCGGGTATTCACATCTGCGTCCGATTCACATTGTTCATCGATGACGCTCCTCAAATATGTAGAAGTTGTGACCTCTTCTACAGTTTTTCCATCAAGCGTGATTGGGTTGGTAATTTCTGTTTTGTATTTGAGGGTCATGCATTTTCCTTTGTGTATGTTGAGGCAAACTGATTAAAAGGCTGTCACTACACCAGTTATCTTCACCTGCATTTGTTCGTGTGTATGTAATTGAAGAGTTAGATTATATGAGAATTTCAAATCACCTAGTTGCATGCAAGCTGTTGATTGTATTCCATGCTTCCCCTCAGATATCGAGGTCTCCATAATTCATTCGATCACGAGAAGAAATAGGAAGGGTGAGAGTAAGCAGCCTCGTTTGACACCGACCCTCACAAAAAATACATCTGTTAGCTGCCCTTCATGCACTACTTTGCACTGTAGTCCATCGTACGAATTCCGGATTATTTTGACGATCTTTTTAGCAAAACCATATTGTCGAAGAATGTCCCATGAGGTTTTCCGGTCCTGCTGATATCCCACTATTGATATGTCTGATGTTCATTCTGATTTCTTCGATAATTGGTGAAATGACATCTATAAGGAGATCTGTGTGTGTTGTTTAGATATCCGGTTAGTTTAGTGAGGCAAATCTGTTCAAGAATTCCTCAAAGTTTTCTACCTACCTGTTCCTCTGATCCTGAATCTCAGTGATTGGCTTGCTTTCTAATTCCTTGACTGGTTGGTCCTTATCAACAAGGCTAGTTTATATTCTTCGCTGATTTGCCGGCTTTCTAAGATTTCGTATACTCAAAGGCAAATATCACAAAAACTAGATGTTCTAGACCATATGCTACAGATATATATCATAATTAAAATGACATAAGCCCCCTAATATGTATGAACAAACTAATTTTCATTGAACAGCGATACATATGGTGTTTCAATGCTTCATAATTTATACCCTGAGGTCAAAGTGAACGTATGAAATTAATGAAATCGTGGAAATTGCGAGCGGAATAAATTGGACTACCGATTCATTCGAATATAAAGCATGCAAAATAGAAACAGATTTGATTGAGTTGTTATAAGATAGAGGATATTATGAACTCGAGATTACTGAGTAGTTCTTTTATTCTTGCTTGGGATTTATTAAAATTTCGGGCTCATAACTAGTCACTGATTCTTTGTAAGACTTCAGAAAATCAGTCGCGAAACTAGTCATTAATGTCCACATGAATGTCACTTAGACGTATACTATGCAGACGAATGAACTGTGGAAATTACTTTTGTCAAACGCTCAGCTCAAAAACACGAAACTACTCTACACAACATTTTTTCATTGGGATATTTAACTTAAGCAAGGACAACCAGTAAACAATGTAATTGATTATGATCAGAGTTGGATGGTCGCTAGAAATGGAATCTAGGACTCGTCAGTTGGATTTACCTTCAATACAGAGTTGATGTTCGCTTCGGAACTCGAACCCGGTAGCGTTCTCTTCAAAAACAATGGCGTTATTCACTTAGCTACTGAGTCCAGATAGCCACTAGCTTGTGTAATGGTGTGAAATTTAATTCCTTTATATCGACTGTTCGAATATTTACATTGTTTAAAAATTCATTCGATCAGTCATTGCATAGATTGTTTCAGTATCATTCATAGTCTCAAGCATCCCGGTCGTAAACAAACAATGGGAAGATTCAAACAACCAATACAAATGAATTCATATAGTTGATTGTTTAAAACAAAATGTACATACTTTATATCATATTAGTAAAGATTAACAATAAACAGCAATAAATATAGATGAACTATTTTAAAAAAATGTTCCAATGTGTAGTGAATCCGAAAATGATCATTATGCGGTTGTGGAGATTATCAAGTTTTTGATTAAGATCATAAACGGATTGAAGCTAGACCACCATGGGAAACCTGGGAGCACTGAACGGCCGTTTCACCCTATTGTGGGACTCCTCAGTAGTGCGTATACATGATCCTGCTCGCAGGATTCGAACCAAGGGCCTTCGGTTCTGATTCCTAACCAATGGTGTACATGGGCTCTAGTATCCTAAGGGAACAAATAACGTATGAACCTATTGTTGGTCACCGGCTACCATAGGACTGCATCTTCTGACACTGCTCCATTGCCTTGTGGATCAAACCTTCAGGTCAAAGGCCCCGGTTGTGCTCCCCTAAGAAAAACACCTACTGCACCCGGACAGTATTCCAGACCTCCCACAAATTAATAATAACTGCTACTGGTCTCATTTTTATTGTGTAGCACATATGTATTTGGTACTGTCTTTTACCAATGTTTATGTGTTCAACTAATTAAATAAATAATCTACCTTACAATCACAAATTAAGAGGGTATCGTACGTGAAACTTTTAAATTTTCAAGTTAACACTATTAAAGAATTGAGACTGATTGATCAATATTTCCAACTATAATCAGTTCATGATTAAGTGTGACAGTCATTTAATACAATAACGATTGATCTTTATAAGTCATATCTCCCCTTACAACTTCATTTTCCATAAACGAAAACAAAAACCGTTTAGTTTCAAATACTCTTCCAATTATCTTCCAAAACTTTTGAAATTTTTAGAAAAACAGGTTTATAGAAAACAAACTTTAAACAAAACAAATAAATATGCCTATTTAAATGAATATTATGAATGGATCACCATTGAAAAACATAGAGGCATTACATAACCATTTGATCCCAGTCTAGGAATCTACATTCAAGATCGTAGATGTACACTGTTAAAGAATTCTATACTAGAATGAAACGGTCATCTTGTACTTCAGTGTTTCCAATGATAATCCAACACTGATCTATTTATGACATCAATCTAAACTTAACAATACTGATATATATATATATATATATATATATATATATATATATATATATATATATATATATATATATATATATATATATATATATCAGATGGGTTTTGTGGATATTATAGTAATTTAAGTGGTTACGATCATGAGTCAGTTGAAGCTAGATCACCATGGAGAACCTGGAAGCACTGGATGGCCGTTTCGTCCTACTATGGGACTCCTCAGCAGCGCGCATCCAAGACCTCACCCCTGCAAGATTCGAACACAGAATCTATCAGTCTCGTGCGCGAATGCTTAACCATGAGAGCATTGAGCGGCCCGGCATCCAACGGTATTGATGTCTAACTTCAACTAATCCACGAAATTGAGCAACACATCCACCATTGTGTTCAGTGTGTTACTATCTCACAAAAGGCTCGGTTGAACTCCACTGGTCACTACTTCTCACTAGAACACCAGGATATACCTCAATTTCGTGGATTAGTCAAAGTTAGACATTAACACCGTTGGGTGCCGACCGGCTTTAGTGGTTAGGTGCTCGCGCTCGAAATCAGTAGGTCCTGGGTTCGAATCTTGCAGGGGCGAAGTCATGGACGCGCACTGATGAGGAGTCCCATAGTAGGACAAAATGGCCATCCAATGCTTCCAGGTTTTCCATGGTGATCTAACTTCAACTGACTCATGATCTTAACCTACACTAAATACTGAAAAAATGAATTTTGTGACAAATTCACATATTTAAAACACCCACATATAAATTATTCCAATTTATGAGTATTCAATAAATCAGTTTCTTTGATTGTTTCTATCCTACAAATAAATTAACTGTGTTTGTCGTTTATTACATACTACAGATAATATTACATATATATACATAGATGCACAAACTATGCACATATAATTGGATATTTCTTATAATAAATAGTGTTATGTAATCTAAGTGAATATGTGATTATATAATACAAATTATATTTGATAATTGTAATTAACATCCATTATCAAGATGGACATCATTTACAGTTGGTGTATTATCTGGTGTTTATTAAATCTCATTTTAAATGGGAAAAGTGAGTCAATTTAATCATCTGATAATCAATGATTGATGAGACTATAATTTATGGACGAATCAATCAGATTTACGACAATAGGTCTTGTATTTTTGGCGCGAAATTTATTCACCCATTTGGTTAAATGGAATCCTGGTATGATAGTTGATGTCACTTCGTGATGAAAAACCGTAAATCTTATTCCTAACTCTAACCATCAACTATAAATCATAATCCTTATTCTTCAAACTGTTTTATAATCCTTACTTAGCCCTAGTAAGTCGGTAGACACACTCAAGATCACTTTAGCGTCACTCAAAAGTCGTCCATATATTATAGTCTCACCTAATTGGTTCATTGTTTTTAGAAAATTATTTTTTATCATATTTTTGTTCTTTATCTTCTTCTCAATTTCTTTTCACTAAATTGAATACTCTTCAATCAAACTTAATCATAATTGATATTGAAATAACTAAAGAGATGATTAATTAGTTAAGTGTCTATTTAGTTAGATAATCCATTACATGTCGGCTCAGTGGTCTAGTTGGTTAAGCGCCTGGAGCGAGACTGATATGCCCTGGGTTCCAGCCTCGCGGGGTGCGGGGTCGTGGATGAGTACTGCTGAGGAGTCCCATACTAAGACAAAACGGCTGTCCAGTGCTTCCAGGTTTTCCATGGTGGTCTAACTTCAATTGACTCATGATTTCAATCAGTAGAATTTCTAAAATCTCCACAAACCCCTTGTGATAACTAGATAATCATTGGTTTATTTATTTATATAATTCATTTAAACATATAAACATTGGTACAAGTAGGTACTATACAGATATGCGCCACACTTTATCATTCAATTTTTATAAGGTCTAGAATATTGCCTGGCAACCCAAACCGTAGCAAGTTGCTTTCTTAGAGGGTCACTCTCTGTACCTTTGACCTATAGATCTAGTTTACAAGGCAATAGAACAATGTTAAAAGAAACAGTTCCATGGTAGCCGGTGAACAATAATTGGTTCAAACGTCATTTGTTCCTTCAAGATCATGGAGCAAATGTGCACCATTGGTTTGGAATCGCGGTTTTCCAACTCCACTAGGTAGATTCTCCACATCCACTATCCCGGTTAAAGCTCCGGACATTCTATTTACGTTCTCTTAATTTTGTAAACAACACCGCCGCCACAAGGAATCAGTGAGGAGGACTTCGTTGGTTATGGTTGTATTCGAGTGGCCATGTGAGAGCATTTACAGAGGATGAACTGACTTCCCTCACCCTCGACCTTACCAGGGTATTTGAGGGCGACCATCACTGATAATCTGTATGATATATATATATATATATATATATATATATATATATATATATATATATATATATATATATATATATACCAGAGAATTACATAACGACTTGTAGAAAGATAAAATGGACTGAAATTTTAAGAAGAAAATAGTTCAACGAAAATGGTTATCAGGACTCAGTAGGTAAGTGAACAACGCTATGGCGTTTGAAGCGAACGGTACTGGGTTCGAGTCTCAGAGTGAACATCAACTCGGGGATGCAGGTACATCAAGCTGACGAGTCCCAAATAGGACAGAGCGCGCGTCTTGAATTCCACTGCTAGTCACTATCCATCTTTGTTTATTATGAAAATGATTATTCTTTATGGTATATAAGAACAATATGAATTTCAACAATCAACAAGAGTTACGTTACACAAAAAATAATGTCTGTTCAAGATTTAAATTATCAAAGGTTTAAAGTACTGTAGACCAGTGTTTTTGCTTAGCTGATATTTCATTTGAAGATATCCAACTAGGAAGTGCTAGTTGTGTTATATCTCAAGGAGATTAAATTATGTATATCTTCTCTGAAGTATTTATAGACTGTTGTTCACCAAAAGGAAATCATCTTATAATGATGAAACATGGTGATTTTTAATAACAAGGAATAATTGAATTTCCTGTTGACTATCTCCAATCACCATCTTATCTCAATATAGTGCACCAAATGTCGAGTCACCTAGACTGGTAGCCACATTGCAGCTTGGTCGATAGAATTCGATCTGCACAAAGATGGAGCTGACATAATATGACATTGATCACCACCCAGTGATCAATCAGTTGTAATTTACTTTTAAGTTTATTCGACTAAACCTTACAAAAGTTAGACCATAGATAGTAGTTAGATTCAGGATGATTGTTTCATCCTATTTTGAACTCTTCAGCCAGAGATACTTGTACCCTAATGGTAATTTTCACAGAGAAACTCTAACATTGTATCTTTCACTCAAAATGTGGTAAATAATTAACTAAAATTATTTTCATCATTATTTATAAGTTTAGAACTAGTCAATTGCATTATGGTATGCGCTACTGACGTCGACATATATAAGTAGTATGTATCATGGAATCGAGAGTGAAATGCTTGGCGGCAGAAGGTTAAGATCGGAGAAAAGAGAATAAGAACAAAGAATGATTGCATATGAACTATTTACTATATAGTTCTCAGATTTCACAAAGACGTTCTGTAATTTACGTGTTGAATTACATTCGATTGTCCCTACTTGTATTCTCGTTTACTACAGCATCCTTTTAATATTTTTGATACTATTAAATTCTTTGAGATGAGTAGCTAAAGTTTGGGGTTGTCATTGTTGTTTTGAAGAAGATCTTCAATGTTTACTTTTTATGGAAGCAAATTCTTCTTCAATTAATCTACAAGTTTTAAATTAATTCGTCATTCAACATGAAAAATTAATTCCATATGAAATCTGAACAAGTAAAGTACCAATTTCGATATGCAATAATGTAAAGCTGTAAAATATTTATCATTACTTACTTACTTACGCCTGTTACTCCTAATGGAGCATAGGCCGCCGACCAGCATTCTTCAACTCACTCTGTCCTGGACCTTCTTTTCTAGTTCCATCTAATTCGTGTTCATTTTTCTCATGTCTATTTCCATCCCTCGGCGTAATGTGTTCTTTGGTCTTCCTCTTTTCCTTTGGCCTCGAGGATTCCATGTAAGGGCTTGTCTTGTGACGCAGTTCAGTGCCTTCCTCAATGTGTGTCCTATCGACTTCTAGCGCTTCCTCCTAATTTCTTACTCCGCTGGGATCTGGTTTGTTCTTTCCCACAGTTAGTTGCTGCTAAGAGATTTTGAATTTGTCTATGATATCAAGATATTACTTCTAGATGGAGTTTTGTTCTTTGGACTGCATAGTTTGATCGTTGAGCTTTCATCGTTCTTCTGAACTACATCATCAGTACAGACTTTTACCTCCATAACCACATCATCGAGTTCAGGGAACAAAACTTTGTCAAAATCTTCTCCACCATATTTCTTTTAGATCTATTTAGGTCATAGAAGTTATACTGATTGTATATAAGTCTTTATTTATAAATATCACTGTGTATATAGAACATTAAGATAAAATGTTTGTAAAGAGAACGTTTCAGGAAGTAGAACTATTACTGTGATGAACGGGAACTAAGGTGAGAAAAACTCCAAACTACTAAATCATGCAGTAGATTAGTAAAATATGAAACTTATACAAATACATATTTATGTTCTCCTTTACATACTCCATTATTCTTTTAATTCTGTTGTTATTTTGATTTCACATTTATTTCCTTTCTGCTTTCTTTATTGTGATCTTTTGCTATCAGGTATTTCACTTTCTATTACGGCTATATGCTACTTAAATCTGTAAGCATAAATAGCATACACCACAATATTAACAATTTACCTTTTTTCTTCTCATTTCAGTTGGTCAAGCGCAAGAAGACAGTAAGTTTTAGTTACGATATTCTATTAAACTTACTGTTTGATTTCCCTGAAACATTTGTAATAATTTCATATATATACAGCTAATGATAAGTGGGACACGAATATGCATAGTTTAGCTACTTAACAATTATACGATAATAATAATAATATACGCATAGTATTGGTTCATAAATGGATTCCAACAGTTACCATTCATTATTCTCATCAGGATATAACACTGTCCAATGCTTCTAGGTTTTCCATCGTTGTCTAGCTTCAATTGACAAATGAATCCAACCATACAATTTACTAAAATCTTCACAAAACTCCTTCTGATAATAATCGATATCTGTTTCCATATGGATATTTCTTTTCAATGAGTTTCAATTGTGATTAATGTCATAGCAACTATATATCAATTATTCTCTTGATAGATATAAATGATTCAAAGTTCAAACATTGAATGTTGAACGAAAAATAATATTTTGGCTAAATCACAACTGTTCATTATTAATTATTGTCCAAATTCCAGTTTAAGTCAATCTTTGTTATATGTCAATAATTTTAACAGAATATTAGATATATGAAACCAGAAAACATGATCCTATTTACAAACTTTAATTTAATATGTAACTTTCTATCGTTTACTGATGAAACGAAGTACGAATTCATGACAAAAAAAGACACACACACACACAAAGATAATTAACTTACTTACATACTGACGCCTGTTATACCTCATAGAGCAGGATAGGCAGTTCACCAGGAGCCTCTATCTAACTTTGTCCTGGACAACCCTATCCAGTTGCTATTCATCCTCTTCACATCTACTTTCAATTTTGTGCGCAGTGTGTTGTTTGATCTTCATCGTTTTTCGTTTCCCATCAGGATTCCAAGTTAGCGCTTGTCTTTTGATGCAGTTTAATGATTTCCTCAATGTGTAGGCTATCGATTTCTAGCATCTTTTTCTAATTTCCTCTTCAGTTGGTGTTGTATTTAGTCGTCGTCGATTGTTGTGTCGGAAAATGTGCTGATCACTTATACTAGGAACGAGGGACCCCTGCAATTATCACGATGCGAAGTAAGAACAGTAAGACTGGTATAAGTGAAGATTTATTAGCCCCAAAACACATTGACGACGAACGATGAACAAAATAGTCTAAAATACACTGGTTTATATATTAATTGTACACCCATTTATGATTAATAATTAGGATTAAATCACATACTCAGTTATAACAAGTCACTTACTGAGCATAGTCCATGTCAACTGAATACAAGAATATCGTATATTATACAGAAGAAAATATCATACTGGAAAAACAAATCAAATACTACACTGAATGATCCCCAGGTTAAATCAAAACGGATGTTGAATGTTGAATAAAACTCATCATGAGTAAATCAATGGAAATTTGATTTTTCTTTCCATCATATCAGTTAAATGTTTATTCGTTGTCTCCCATAGTAGCCTGTTACTGATGGAAAAATAATTAAGATTTGTGTATATTCTAAACGTTTTAACATAACCCTCCAGTTATCAGTGTTCAATAAAATTGAATCATCTAACATTTTTGATCATTTTCTTAGTTCATTTAGTTAGTCAACAGAACATATAAGAGCATAATTCTCACTGACAATTACATTTCCACCGTTTAACGTCATCTAAATATGTCTTCTATAAAGAAATCACTCTACGACATTCCAAAGTACAGAATGAAAAGAGAAAACGAAGTGAATGTTGAAGATTAAAATGAAGTTCTCAGTGAAAACCTTACTTTACACACACTATTCACTTACTTAATGAACAGGAAACTGTTGCATATTACAACTACATAGTTCAATGTTATCATGTTGGTTTCATTGTGATCTGAATGCTTTCAATGATTTCGTCTATGTAATTGTTTATTTATGGTGTTTGTACTAAGTAATAACTCCTTTGTACTTGATTGCGCGCTTATTACGAATTACAAATATAAAACGTTTAGTAGTGCTCATCTAGTTCTACCTGACATAAATCGAACTATTTCGGGAATCCTTAGTTAACACATTAATTCGAATACTTTTGTTTAACATAGTATTTCTCACTGTTAAGTTGTCTTAAACCTTATGGATTCATTTGCTCAATGATCCCTGAATACTGTTTATTCTTCAGTTGATGTTAACTTTGTTTACTTATGTAACCTTTAAATTATGCCCAAAAAAATGCATATAAACACATACCTCAATAAATTTAAACTGGTTTATTAGTTACTTTAATCTAATTAATTAAATGTTTAGGTTCCACAGAAGATCCTATTACTGGTAAGTCTGATCAGTTCATTACTTACATACTTACTTACTTACTCATTTACGCCTGTCACTCTCGATGGAGCATAGGTCACCGAACAGCATTCTACAACCCACTCTGTCTTGGGTATACCTTTCTAGTTCTATTCAATTACTGTTCACTCTTCTTATGTCTGTCTCCGTTTCTCGACGTAATGTGTTCTTCGGTCTGCCTCTTCTCCTATTGCCTTGAGGATTCCATGTGAGGGCTTGCCTTGTGATGCAATTGGGTACTTTCCTCAGTGAGTGTCGTACCCACTTCCAGCGCTTTTCCCTGATTTCTTCCTACACTGGAATCTGTTCATAACTGTATGTATTTCATTTAGGCAATTTTTTAAAGTTTCATTAAGACTTTGTCATATATTTTCAATGGGAGTTGAAAATTATATTTTTTCATCGTGTAATATGTACTTACGTATTTTACTTAATTGAAATGAATTGATCGATTTCATGGTTGTTAACATTTGTCAAAATGTAACGAAATTTTGGACAGAACTAACATTTTCAGCAGAATTAGAAACATTATTTTCCACTGTCAGATTCCTGGAAGTTATCGCTGCGTAAACCGAACTGTGACTGAATCTGCCACTTTATAACAATCATCGTTTTTATAAGCAAAGAGGTATGGTGGCTAGTAGTGGAATCCAAGATGGGTGTGGTTATCTGGACTTAGTAGCTAAGTGGATAACGCCATGGCGTTTGAAGTCAACGGTACTGGGTTTGTGTACCAAAATGAACATCAACTCTGTAATGCAGGTACATCCAGATGACTAGTCCAAATATAGGACGAAACGTGCGTCCTTGATTCCACTCCTAGCCTTTTATCCATCTCTGCTTACAATACTTGTGACTTAAAGCAATATCGATGTAATCTGTACAATATACACTTATGCCGATAAGAGACTGATCAACTGCAGACCTAAGCATCAATGGGAAGATTTAAACAAACAATAGAATAATGAATTACATCACTGTCTTCTTTTCTAATATTTACAATTGACCGAAATCTAACGAATGATTTGTAACAGTTTGCTCACTTTACAACTATATAGTGGATTGAAAGTGATGTACATATAGATGAGGAGTAGGATCAGTATGTTTTAAGAATAACGTCAGTGTAATAAAATTCTAATAAATTATAGGTCTGACTTAAGGTGCTAATGTCAATAAAAGTAAGGTCAAGGAGATAAAACAGATATCTAGACCATTTTAGACACATGATTAAAAGTACATGATCCTCTAGACTTACTCAGAATATATTTTTATTGAAATGATAGAAATAATCTGTTGCTAAAGTAAGTACTTTTAGTAATGCTACGTTCCATTAAGTGAAATGTCGAATTGAAAGGCATTCATTATCGTTTTGAACAACATCATCAACCTTTACTTCAAATGAAAGTGAGCTTTTTAAGAATCTTTTCACATGCAATAAATCAGTGCATTCTAATGAATTTGTTAGTGATTGGTCGTCTTAGCAAGATTTACCACTTTTATATTTCTTTGGAGTCTTGCTGTTTGCTTTGTTCTCTTGAACTCTGACCATGTAACTGATAGATCTTTCCCACATAGATTGATCGCTTATATTTACTTCCATCTGTCTAATGATTCTGTTTAGACATGAATGACATATATCTTTATATTCTTTAGTATGTTTGTGTTATAATCTCTTTCTTACAGTTATGACCCAGCTATTCCTATTGCTTAGTATTCTCGGACACCGATTCACTCGACAAGTCCCGAAATCCGAACACGGTTGAACAGGAAAGAGATTATATCCCAAACAACAAGGTTAGATGGAAGTAAGATGCACAATAGGGAAAACGTTAATATATTTATAGTTTTTACATGAAAAGATTCTAGATTATTCTCCAACTATCGACTAGTGCTGATTGGATAAGAATCAGCCAATCAGCGTGCACCAAAGCAATCGTGTATTGAGCATGCTTTAATCTAGTCTATGTCCCGCTAACAGTTTGAAATTTCCTTGATCTACAATCATTCCTTTCATATAGTTGTTACTTGTATACACTGATATAACTGATAACATCCTATGCAGTGTTTTGAATTCCGACATTGTTATCAATACGAATCACAACGTATTTAAAGGAATAGATATAAATTCAAACATAATATATCGTTATCGAGTTACTTTATTCAAACAGTTTGTTCTCTCTCGGTTTTATTGTTCTATAAAATATGGCAGATCCTCCCACTTTCGGTAAGTTACATAATTCTCTTTGTAACCGAATTGTTTTAACCTAACTCTTGTATATGGCTAAATTGATATTTAAAAAATGAAAGAGATACACGTTAAGGTAACTGATCTCTGGAATCAAGTTTGACAATTCATTGCTTTATAGATTGAATAAAATGTGAATTAATTTCTCATTTGTCAATCACATGCTATAATCACATTCCAACTAATTAGGCTTGATGGTTGAGATCATCATTCATTTGTAGCTAGATCACCATGGAAAACCTAGGAGCACTAGACCTCAGTTTCGTCCCACTGTGTGACTCCTCAGCAGTGCGCATCCAGACCGCGCCTTGCGAGATTAAAAACCAGGATTTATCAGTCTCGCGCGTGAACGCTTAACCTCGAGACCATTGAATGGGCCGTCATCCAACGGTATTAATGTCTAACTTCAACTAATCCCCAAAATCGAGCAAAACATCCACCATTATCATCAGTGAGTTACTATCTCACAGCAGACCCGGTTAAATTACTTCGGAATTTAGATTGTTTTATGTAAACGAAATAAAGTGAGACTGATAGGTCCTAGGTTTGAATCTCACGAGATGGGATCGTGGATGTACACCGCTGAGGAGTCCCATACTAGGACGAAACGGACGTCCAGTGCTTCCAGGTTTTCCATGGGGGTCTAGCTTCAATTGACTCATGAATTAAACTATAAAAATTACTAAAATCTCACAAAACCCCTTTTGGTACTATGTAGGTTTGACTAACGTTTTAATACTAACTTGTCAAGCATAGATCATACAACTGAAAGTCAAGTAAACAAAACTATCCTTACTAAACGAATTACATAACAATATTACATTAGACGTTTAAATCTCCTTAAGGGAATTTCCAACAGCGTTGTACCCATTACTAGTAATTATACTGAAGTCTTTGTCTAGGACTACTGGCACATTCATCAGTTTATCGATAAATTTAGTTTGCTAAGAACTCAAAAGATAATCACGTATCTTGATTATGGGATAAGAAAATAAAATCATCATATTGACAAATTACATTAGATATTATTGCACTAAATCGACACTACATAATATCAGAAGTTTATTTAAGCTACTGATGTGAATTAGAAATTACCCTTCAAATCCAATCCAGATCTTCATATTCTTTGGTTGTATCTCAAATAATCTCAGTTTATGACAACTGCAAACTTATTGGTGTGATTATAACTTATGAACAACCTTTGAGTGACGCTAAAGCGATCTCGAAAATGTCCACCTACTTACTAAAACTAAATGAAAGTTATAAAGTAGTGTGAAGAATTACGATTATGATTTACAGCTGGTAGTTAAGATTAGGAACTAGATTTACAGTTTCCATCACGAACTAACATGAGCTATAATGCTGAAACTCTATTTAGCCAAATGAATACATGAATTCTGCGCCAAAATCCGAAATTCATTATCTCATACCTGATTGGTTCGTCCATAAATTAAAGTTTCACCTATTTATAATGGTTCTGTAACAGTTTTCTAAGTATTTCACACTTTCATTTAAAGGCTGTTAACATATTTACATATAACCAACTTCTTATTTAATGTAATCTTTTATCAATCTTGAATTTAACAATTTCTTCTGGCACAAATCCATAAAGTCACTGACAACTGGGCTGAGTCATGTTGGTAGGTGTAGACTATATGGTTGGGATCCGCGAGATGATAGCAACCGATGGTTAGAGATCGTGAATGGCATGGCTCAAAATCGTTTGCAATGACTCAGGTGCATCCACTCTTTGTGTTCTCCCAAATTCCAATCTTCTGAATTCTTCATGTCCATTATTTTTTTTCCAAATTTATTTCACTGGATTATACTCCTTGAATGATATCTTCAAACCCTAGTCTTTCGGATTACTGCTTATACTCTCACTACCTTTACCAACTGCACCTCTGTGCTAATGTGGTCTGGCAACTCGTACGTACGTACGTACGAAGTTCTACGTTGTTACTGACTGACTGACTGACTGAACAATTTCTTCATTATTATTATGCAATAAGTTTCTGAATCATTTGCTTACTATTCACAATATAAACTATTCATTATTTAAATGTATCATCTAATTTAGTTGTTAAACACTGAATAGACATATAATGATCATTAAAGTACATTGGGACAAGTCAAGTAATTCTTAACTATTCTCTTTATCCAGTTTAAGTTCCGATTATTTTCTAATATTAAATCATTCTTATGATTATCTGGATTTATAGATAATACAACAATGACCAGTACAACAAGTGATTTCAGTGAGTGTAGTTTTAAAGCTTCATTTCAATTTGATTATTTATACACATATTTGGAATAAACAATGAGATATTACATCGTTAGGTAGTTCATGATGTCTGTAACTTCTTTTCAACTGAAAGGTTGAATGTATGAGACTGTGCTTGAATTATTTACCTAAAGTATTATGTCCTATTGCTTGTTATATATCAAGTGACAAAATCATCAATAGTAGACCGACTTCTATAACCTTGTCGCTGTGCTAAAACAAATGATGCATCAAACAGCACTAGTAGCCTTGAGTCAATTCTGAATCCTTATCGGTCCTTTGTTTTGTAGCTTCGCACCTAATTCAGCTTGTTCAGTCCAGAACACAAATATCAGTTATGTTTGTGTGAATTGTATATTTCAGAAATACTTGGTTTATATAAAAACAAACCAGACCACATCACACCAAAAGAGGAAAAATAACTGTTATAAAAGATCCAGCTAAAAGTGACTGTAAATGTGAGATACCGTAACTAATAAACTGGGAATAACTTAGGAACAGTAAGTCGTATATCAGTAGTCAGCAGGTCAAACGAAAGATTATGATAAAAAAAATATATGTAATAATAGTCCATAAATAACTCCTAGCAGTTACCACTCATTTATTCTTCATTCGGAAAGAATACAATCATAAACCATTAATCAGTATGGGGTTGTGGAGATTGTTAAGTTTTTGGTTGAGATCATGAATTAATTGATGTTAGACCACCGTTGGAAACCTGGAAGCACTGGACGGCCGTTTTGTCGTGACCAGTGGAGCTAATCCGTGTCGGGTAGAGACAGGTATCTACCTTAGTACAATGGAAGGTGGTCGCGCAATTTCGTGGATTGGTTGATCTTAGACACTAACACCACTGGATGCCGGCTCAGTGGTCTAATGGTTAAGTGCTCAGGCGCGAAGCCAGTAGGTCCTGGGTTCGAATCCCGCGGGGCGCGGGATCGTGGATGCGCACTGCTGAGGAGTCCCATACAAGGACGAAACGGCGTCCAGTGCTTCCAGGTTTCCAACGGTGGTCTAACATCAATTAATTCATGATCTCAACCATAAACCATTAATATATCACTGTTTAAATACCTATGGTGTTTATAAATTCATATATGATCATATAGTTAAACATATTACTTTCATGTAGTAGACATGAACATGGTTTACTAATGAACATTTTTGTCATTTTAAAATGAATATCAGAAGAGGTTATGTGGAGATTTCAGTAATTTTTATAGTTGAGATCATGAGTCATTTGAAGATAGAAAAGCATGGAAAACCTAGAAGCACTAGACGGCCGTTTCGCCCTACTTTGTGACTCCTCAGCAGTGTACATCCATGATCATGAGATTAGAACACAGGACTTATCAGTCTCGTGCGTAAACGCTTAACCTCGATACCGCTGAGCCGACCGGCACCCAACGGTGTTAATGTCTAACTTCAACTAATCCACGAAATTGAGTCACACATCCACCATTGTCATCAGTGAGTTACCATCTCACAACGGACCCGGTTGGACTCCACTGGCTTTCCATGTTGGTCTAGCTTCAATTGACTCATGATCTCGACTATTAAAACTAATAAACAAATCTGATTTTAATCCGTCAAAAAAAATTGTATTCAAATTAAAGACATCTTCATTCATAACATATCTACATGTTGGTAATACGCTTAATGACAAATACGTTCGAAGTGAATCTCTTGCAGGTTTTGTAGGACTCAACAAACTTAGATGATAGACTACAATTCACTGATAATATTAGATGAGACTCTAGGTATATCATCACGTATTGACTATATTTGTAAACAAACTATACAAGATATAGAGCATTATTAGTTCACTAAAGGTTACAAATTTATTCATTTCTGAAATTGTGGTTACGTACTGTTGAAACATCTGATAACAGATTCTAAATTGGCTCAGAAAACTATCACTTGTTAACTCCTATTAATTAGGCTAATTTGCATAAATACCCTGCTAGTGGACAAATCATTTGACAAAATATAGCTTACTTATGTACCATGTATTGTAATATGAATTGCTATATCTAGATAGGCATATCTAAAGTTACATGTAATACTGAATTTACTTCAATTTATTTATTTCAGCCAATAAACCAGAAGAGGAAAGTAAGTTCCATATAGGACATTCTATTTGTGGATGTTTCGTTTGGTACTCATAGTTTTCATGGATATCGCAGTTAATACTAAAACGTTAACATTAGCCTAGTAGTTAAATTCAATCCATTTAGGTTCGAATTATGCGAGGCGGGATCGTGGATTCGCACTGTTGAGGAGTTCCACATTAGGACGAAACGGCCATCCATTGCTTCCAGGTTTTCCATGGTGATCTAGCTTCAATTGACTCATGATCTCAACTATTGAAATTATTTCTTATTTATCATTATCGCATTTAAGTAATATCTTGATTATGTTCATTTGATTTTCTTGCATATTGATATCTAATCCATTTTAATGGTCATTCCGTTTACTTTAAGCCATAAATCCATATTATAATTTTTAACTTGAGACTGTTTAGTTAAGCCAATGTCTACATGAAAAAACGAAATTAAGCTTTTCATGAATTACTTGTATGTAGTAAATAGTTTTCCAAAGTCTTTTCATCTTAGTGAACACAATGAAAATCGTCTAAGCAATTCAATTAAGGAACGAGTATACTTTGTGGCAGTACATTATGTTTTACTTTACGGCTGCCAAACGTGGCCATTAAGAGTAGAAGATATTCTAAGCTACTAGTATTTGACCACATGTCTTAGAAATATTGCTCGCATCTCCTGGGATCACCGGGTAAGTAATATTGAAGTGATGGTAAATCAGTTGATGAGGTTTTGAATCCTCATCGGGTGGGATGGTTAGGCCAAGTGTTACGTATGTCTGAACACCGATTGCCACGACGCGCAATGCTGACTGGTGTTGGAGACTGTTGGATGAAGGTTAGGGGTGGCCAAACCAAAACATGTATCAGTCCACAATGTCACTAACTTCTAGTCTTAATCATGTTGATTGATGCAGACTACTTGGTTGGGGTCCACATGAATATCGTAACCAATGATTGGAGACTGTGAGTGACATGACTCAGAATCAATCACAGTGGCGTAAGTGTATTCGCTCTCTGTCTTCCTTTAAACTAAGAGATTAAAATGACTTCATACCCTTATTTCTACGAACTGACTCTTTCTTCCCGTAATGTATCTTTATACACAATCATTCTTTTATAAATCACTACCATTGAAGTAACTACTTCTATGAATATGATGTTGATCTTGTTGTGCTCATGAGATGTGGCAACTTGGATCGACGCATATATGTGCCTGGTCATACGTTATAGCTGATTAACTAACTGATGATATTAATTCAAAATCTTGGCATACATTAGTCATTTACATATCGAATTACAAGAAAACAAAACTTTACTACTCAAAAACGTTAGTTCTTTATTCTAATAAATTTGAAATACTTTGAATAAGATCTGATTAACAGTTGGGACAGTAGTTAACTTTCCATAATAATAAATACTAGGCGGCCTATTCGATTATCTGGGCTACTTGTTCCTATCATCTGGATATTTCAACAAGTTGTCTGATTTCTTGTTTGTTTTAATATATCGTTATGCCCATTAATCGCATAACCTATTCAGGCGAGTTTGTGACAAGTTTACGACATTTCATTATACAAGTTACAAATAAGTCTAATCAGTGACATCGTGGTTCGTGGCAACGGTGTGCATTGAAAAGAATAAACATTATTCACATGTTGATTGCTGAACTGCTAACATCTAACTGGAGATCAGTTAATACTTATCGTCAAGATCGATCAAGAAAGAAGAAACGGGAACTTGTTGAAATACTTTATGCTGACAATTCTATATTGTACCAAAAATATAATATTGAATAAAGCCACTAATGATAACAATGATAATAATGAATGTTTTATAGTGTTACTTTAATGCTTCTTGTTTCTTGTGTCTTTATCCAATTTCAGACTCTACCACAGATGATACTAATTGTAAGTTGAATTATTCATCAAAATGAGTACATCAGTTACATCTGAACGAAATGAAGATTCTTCTATAAAATAGATTACTTGTTAGTTTAGATGTTATATCGACTGATTTATGGTTGGAGTTATTCCCGACTGTCCGCTCTGAAAACGTGTAGTATAGCGTAGTGCCGGCCAAAGTTTCGGGGAGAAAGATACACCTATATAGTAAACATTCGGTCTTCAGATCAAAATCATTATGAATATTGCACAATAATATTGATACAACAATTGAATAAAAATACTTCCTCTTCAACAAGATCCTTTACTATAATAGGATCATACAACTAGTGACCACGATTATACTATCACTAGACTATATACTTGATCGATACGCTATACACGGACTGGAATCACGTTATGTCAAATACTTGATCCATGACCAGTTATATAGTGAATCAGGGTATAGGTTAGGTTATAGTTAGACAACTGTTGGACACCTAGTAGCCCTGAACGGACGTTCGGTTCTAGTATGGAACATCTCAGCAATCAGCATCTACGCCTCGTGCTCCAACGTTTAGCCACTAAACAAATGAACCGGTATCCAACAGTGTACAAGTTCAGCTTCTATAAACATAAAATAGTTAGTTAACTGGATGTCTGTTTGTCCACGCTTAGTAACCAATCACATTTTACACATCAAATACACAGCCAAATGCAGTACATCAAATGAAAAATAACCGAAAGTGATAACGTACATCTTGTGAACGTTACGGATAACCTCAGATGTAAGTTATGTACTGAGCTGCATAACTTCTGTTCAAAGATTTTCTCACCTAAAAGACTTTCGTTTCATCTCTCCTGGTGAAATATAATCTTTCCATACGATCATGATATGGACAATGTTTAAAATGAATACATATGAAAAACAAACAAGTAGTTGAATATAAACATTTTTTAACAAGATCTCAAAAAAATGTTTTAATTAAATATGGTGTATTAGTATCCATCACCATTCTCATTCCTTTCACCCAATCAGTTCATGTCGTCCCATGATATCTTCATACCCGGTGTTGTCCATTCCGACTATAGCGTTTTGGTCTTCCATTAGGTACTTTTCAGGGCACTTCCCTGTGATCGATTGGAGCCTCTCGTATAAAGCCTGTTACCCCTCGTGATGCATAGGGTACCGACTAGGGAATCTTTAGCCAACTCACTCCTGGGCTTTCGTTTCAAGATGTCCCCATGTGGTATTCAGAATCCTAATTTATGCCTTTGATTCCCGGTGCATTTGTTGCTCTGGGTTTCAGAAGGAATATCAGCCTCATGATTTCCGAAGAATCCCAGCTTCCACTATGAGGCATCATGACTCTACTCCTAAGATAGAGTTTAAATGGCTAAAATTATTCTTTCTGGTTACCGTATATTATTAACAAGTCTCTTGTTTACAGAGTCGGTAAACCCATGTTCAACCATCCTGCTTTATCCGGGCTTGGAACTAGAAGTAGACTTTATTAGGCTCTAAGTAGAGTTAGTTCTGCAGTTTATGGATAGTACAATAACTCTGAAATATCAATATCATATCCCTAATATTTGTCAAGTTTGTTGATGAATTTCATATAAAAGTAAAACATTCGTAAATTGCTCCTAAGATTTCACTGATATCTCAACTAGTGTTGCTTTGAGCTGAATAATGTTAATTAATAGGTTCATAACACTAATCTTGATCGTATTAAGTAATTTATCTCAAGTATTGTCTCAACTGTTATTATTATTATTATTATCGAATAGGCCAATCTAAGTTAATCACTACGTCATTGATCTCTTATCATCATCGTCTACGTAAATAAAAATATGAACATAATCATTAAAAATTTTAAGCAAAGATGAATAGGGACTAGCAGTGGAATCCAGGACGAGGGTTTCGTCTTATTTGAGACTCGTCAGCTAGGTGTACCTGCATCTCAGGTTTGATGTTCACTCCGGGACTCGAAACCATCACCGTTAGCTCCAGACGCCATTGCGTTACCCACTTAGCTACTGAGTCCTGATAGTCACTTGTTCTAGTAACGGGATGAAGATACAAGTAAAACAACACCAAGCGAACAATCATCAAACAGTTCATAATTATTCATCTTAATTATATTATTGTAATAATGGTAAAATATTTCAATGTTTATTTCACTTGTTATTCACTTTTTCACTTTGTAGATACTACAATCCCCAGTTATTCTAGTAAGTTATATCATTCCATTTCATTTGTAAATATCCGTTTTCATTTATTCTAATATATTTTGATGGAGTTTCGTTCTCTGTAATGGATGCTTTAGTTGTGGAGCTTTCATTGTTCTTCTTAACAACATCATCAGCACAAACTTCAGGTGGAAGTAAAATGTTCGAACAAACAAAAGGGACACCGATGGGATCACTAATATCAGGACTCATCGCAGAAGCAGTGAGAAACCTGATGATGTCGTTCAGAAGAACGATGAAAGCTCCATTACTAGACCATCCAGCTCAGAGAATAAAACTCTATCAAAACCATCCACGTGAGCTACAAATCTTCTCCACTCTGATATATATTTTCATTTAACTGATCACTCAATTGATTTATATCTTAAAATGTATTCAGATGAAAGTTTCTAGATTGATTTAGGGTTGTGGAAACAGTTGAGTTTCATTGAAACCACAAGTTGATCTATGTTAGACTCCCACTGAAAATCTGGGAGCAATTGACGTTTGTATCATTGTAGTGTGGAACTCTTCAAAAGTGCACGTCCATGAGCTTATACCTGGGAATCTAATCCAGGTTATTTGGTCTCACTTACAAATGCTTAAACGCTAGACAACTAAGGTGACATTCAACGGTGTTAATGTCAAACGTCATTGTTGATTTATGAGTATTGAATCCAGCTTAAAGACCCATACACACACAGTGAATAAACATTATCTTAAATAAATTGGCTTTTTGTTTTTTGAAGAAGAAAAACTATAACTAATTCAACTTATTTTAAATACAAACTTTAAAAGAAAGAAATTTTTCATTCCATAATATTCACATATAAAGCACTACGCTTCTTATGGTGGCCGGAACGCTTTTGTTGGTCCTTGAAAATTCGAGCGAGGTAGTATAATTTTTGTAGTGGGCCTATCCATATCTATAAGGTGAACAGCCTCTTGCATTTGAACAATGTAAGTAAGGGAATTCGGCAAACTGGATACGTAACTTCAGGAGAAGTATTGACTCTGAGAACCGATTTAGACAGGCCGAGATCAGATACATATCGGTCCAGTTGAGGGCTGGTGTCTTTTCTGCTTTATGTGCTCTGGTGCACATTGTTGTAATTTACTGAATTCTGATTGGCGTCAGTCGTGGACGGCTTCAGCCAAAGGATATCCATATAAAAAGAAGTAAAGGTTAAGGGCTGACACCTCTCATTGATGAAATACCCGTGAAAAATGTACTGGAGTGAATTCTGTAATTATTATTTTCAGAATATGTTATCATTATTTATTAAGTAATATATTTTATTGAACATTAATTTCATCCACAGGTACTGACATAATCACAAACGATGGTACGTTTGTTTTTTTTGATAAATTATACTTTGTATTTTCTTTACATGTTTTGTACGCATAAATCAGAACTCATATGGAACACTTGTAATTAAAAAATTTCAATAACTATGCTATTTTGGGCTATCATCCGGTTTTTGATTCCGTAAGCTATCCCAGATTGATACGGACAAATAGGAGGCTACATTGACCATAGAAATCAATTATGAAACAAAACTCAGATAACTGGGCCAAATCCTAACCAAAAGGGCTATCTTTCAATAATGCTCACTGATCATTTAGCCTTGACCTAGCACATACTTATAGGCATATGGTGTGACTGGATTTATTAAGCTTATTGGAATAACACATTTGCACTTGGTGTTCGTGCTGGCTTACTGTGGAACTTGTCATCAATGCCTAATCAAGGGCCCACACACAGGAGTTAAACTCAGGACCTTGAGCCTTGCACATAAGCGCTTAGCCTACAGACCACTAAATGGCATCTGGTAGTGTTGTTGTCAAACTCCAATCAATCCAGGATATTAAGCAATCATCTCCCACTGTCTTCGGTAGGCAATTGCCTCACACTCGACACGATTGAACTCCACCGGTCACGGCTTCTCACTCATTTGTTTCAGTTATATAAATCTCATCAGAATAAGACTAATAATAATAGAATCAAAGCGGGTGCAGTTACTTTTATATGTCCCAAATCCCAGGTATTTATTGTAACAACCTACCTAAAAAAGGTAACCATTTTTGAAATCTTTAGCTGATAATATATCACCTAAATTATTTTCATTGTAATTTGTTATTTCACGTTATCTCCCTTCGAATTATAAGCATTTCTTTGATTAGTCATTGAAATGATTTGGAGTATACAAACTTATGGCTCAATTTCGCTCTTTTAAACACTTAATCAGATAATCTCCCAATATTTTTTTATTCTACAATAAGATGGACTTACTACATCTCTTTTTTAAAGATGATTTACAAGGACACTTTAATTTTCCCCATGAACTGACATCAACTACAGAAGCACTGAAAACCAAGGAGTGTTGGAAAGGTATTATCTTTGTCTACGATCTTCAAGTTGAAACACACTTTTCTATGTACTAAACCCTAGTTAGTTTATGGTTTCGTTACTTGACTATAGGTCAAACATCTTATGTATGAACTAGGGATACTGCCTAATTAAAAAACCGAATTAAATGGAGCAAGATTTGAACCAATGACCCAATGATGGGGGTTTCTGTCCTTCACGCATTCATCTATCAATTGATCCATTTTGTCTGTAACGCATAAAGCACGCTTCGGTTCGTTTACTTATCTATGAATGACACATTTTGGTATAGAGGTGGATATTGTTTTGTGAAAGACCAGTCTTGTGAGTGGTAGATTGAAAATAGAATATCCTAAATGAATACTATTTAATTTTAATAGTTGAAATCATGAATCAAATGAAGCTAGACCACTATGGAAAATCTGTAAGCACTGGATGGCTGTTTCGTCCTACTGTGCGACACCTCAGTACTATGCATCCACGATCCTGCCTGGCGAGATTCGAACCCAGGACCTATCCGTCTCGCGCCAGAGCGCTTAATATTTTTTAGTATAACTACTCTACATTGAGGAACTCACTCACAACGTTTGTTGGTTTTCTTTCTCTACCTTTTATTTCTTTAAATTCTGCTCTCAGCTACAAATTTAAAATGTCAACGAATATTCTACATGATAGTTGGATTGATCAGTCTAATGGCAATCAATTAACGAAAAAAAGCACTCATTCTCTGTAATCAATGTATAACTAGTTTCATGTGTATGTTTATATTATATTCTTAGCATATTATTACCATGTTGGAAATAATGCAATCTCGTGTTCATTTTCTGATAACATAGTTAGTTATCAGTGATCGGTAGAAATCTTTGATCTGATGAATCAGTCATAAAACAATGAGAACATTATACATGTTTGAAGCAGTTCAACTTACCGTGCTTTACATCGGTATAGTCAGTGAGGGAATTATCACGATGTGAATTAGTTATAGGAATAAGTTACGCACTTGTCGTGCAACTTTAAGGTTCAGTTGAGGTCCTGGATGTTTACTGTTGAAAATTCTTAATCTGAGTCTGAAAAGCTGTCCAATTCTCCTTTGTTCTTAATACTATCGCAGCTAACATCGATCCGTCATAAATATCCCTTAGAAATATGATAATTATTAAGTCAGAGTATGTAAATCAGATGAAAGATAGCTAACTGTAGATAGATTACAACGTCTTTTATGTGTAGAAAGGAGCTGAATTCTCCTGTTGTTAATATTAATCACTGAATATTAATCAGTCTTATCATATGTACATTTAGAGAGAATCAAGATACGTTTTAGGCTAAGAATCTCATATTCATTAGACAAATTAGTGATAATCCAGTCTCAGTAGCTCAATAGATAATATATTAACATTTGAAGAAAACGGTATAGAGTTTAAGTTTTAATATATACCTAAACATTGAAGTGAAGGTAGATCCGATCGACAAAGCTCAATTAACACGAAACACACTGCCCAGATTCCACCAATCATCATTCTATTCTGAAAACCATCATTAAGTTCGATTTGGAAGTGAACATTTACAAAATAACACTATCGTTAATTAAATCCACTTGGTATTATTTGTTTGAATCTTCCTATTGATGTTCAGCACTGTTAATTGATCAGTCTCCTATTGGCATATGTGCATACTGTGCGTATTACCTCGACATTACCTTAGTTCACTAGCATTATAAGTAAAGATGGATAGTGCTTAGCAGTGGAATCCAGGACACGCGTTTTGTCCTATTTAAGACTCGTCAGCTAAATGTATCTGCGTCTCAGAGTTGATATTAACTCTGGGACTCGAACTCAATACCGTTCCCTTCAAATGCCATATCATTATCCACTTAGCTATCCAATTACACAAACAAGTGATTATCAGGATTCACTAGATAAGTAGATAACGTGATAGTGTCCGATTCCCAGATTGAATATCAATTCTTTGAGATGCGTATACATCCAGCTGACGAATCTCAAATAGAATGAAACGCGCATCCTAAATTCCACTCTTAGCTACTATCCATCTTTATTATCATTAATTATTTGTTCCTTATCTATCATTACAATCATTACAAGTAGTGTTTTCTTTCTATTCCTTAAATTTATAGATTTCATAAAATAATTCATTAAACTATTAAGCGTAAACTGTTAGTAACAGTAATTTAATGGTTACCTTTTTCTTTATTTGTAAAATGAACATTATATTGATTTCAATCAGAGTAATTAGTTACCAAATTTGAATGATGATGTATATTTTAAAAAAATTTTTTTTAAAATTATAATAGTTACCACACAATAAAAATGAATTAATATTTACTTTCAGAAGGGGGGTTTTCTGGAGATTGTAGTCAGTTCAATAGTTGTGAATATGAATCTATTGAAGCTAGACAACCATGGAAAATCTGGAAGCATAGGATGGATGTTTCATCCTATTGTAGGAGTCGACGGCAGTACGTATCCAAGATCTCGCCACGTGGGATTCAAACCCATGACCTATCAGTCTTACTGATGACAATGGCGGATGTGTGGCTCAATTTCGTGGATTAGTTGAAGCTAGGCATTAAAATCATCGGATACTGGTTCATTAGTATCGAGGTTAAGCGCTAGCGCGTAAGACTAATAGGTCCTGGATTCGAAACTCGCTAGGCGTGGTCATGGATAAGTAATGCTGTGGGGTCTCACAATACGACGAAACGGCCGTCTAGTGCTTCTAGGTTTTCCATGGTTGTCTAGCTTCAATTGACTCATGATCTCAACTATTGAAATAATTACTTTGTTTATTATGTTAATAATAAAATGAATATACTGAATCTAAACCAAAAAGAAATTATGAATTCGTGGAATAAAATATTCAAGATAATTTTGAAATTTAGGGTTCAGGAGAAAATGAGTAATGAGTAGTTTTTGAGTTATTTGGTGTTGATTCTAAACTGTCATTCAAGGTCTTCAACTATTGACTTCGATAACTGAAAGGATCTTCACTATGTAGTTAACGTTTACTTACGTAGATCAGAACAATAGTTATTGACTTAATGATATTAGATTTGAAATTCATTTCGGTGGTGATTTCATCCAGTACTATGATAGACAGATTAGAAATCAATAGCGAGATATACACTGTTAGTAAGTTAGTCAGCTATACCGTAGGACCAGGCACATATATGCATCGGTCAAAGTTGTCATACCTCATTAACACAACAAGATCAACATCATATTCATAGAAGTAGTTACTTCAATGGTAATGATTTATAAAAGAATGATTGTGTATAAGAACATAGTACAGAAAGAAAAAGTTGGTTCGTAGAAATAAGGGTATAAAGTCATTTTAATCTGTTAGTTTAAGGGAAGACAGAGAGCGTATGCACTTACGCCAATGCGATTGATTCTGAGTCATGTCACACACAGTCTCCAATCATTGGTTACGATAGTCATGTGGACCCCAACCAAGTAGTCTGCATCAATCAACATGACTAAGACAAGAAGTTAGTGACATTGTGGACTAATACAATGTTTTGGTTTGACCGCACCTAACTTTCTCCCAACGATCCACAACACTAGTCATGGTAATTGGTGTTCAGACATGCGTAACACGTGACCCAACCATCTCAGCCGATGAAGATTTACAATGTCGTCAACTGATTTACCATCATTCCCCAACACCCTGCGTCTAACCCCACTATTACTTACCCGGTGATCCCAGCATATACGAGCAGTATTTATAAGACATCTGCAATCGAATACTAGTAACTCACGAGTATCTTTTACTCACGATGGCCACGTTTCGCTGCCGTAAAGTAGGACAGAACGAATCGATGCACAGCATACTCGTTCTTTTAATTGATAAACGGATATCCCGCCTTTGCCATAGGTGACGTAAGTTAGCAAAAGCCGAACAAGCTTTTTGAATCCGTGTTGAGATTTCGTCAGACACCAACCCATTAGGACTGATCAGACTTACAAGATATGTGAAGTTGCCGATGCGTTCGACTACTTCACTCCCTAACTTTAGTTCAGGTGTTGACACAAGCCAGTCCTGATGCAACAACTTGCATTTAGAGGGAGAGAAGCGCATCCCAAACATTCTGGCATTGTTGCTTAGTGCTACCAGAAGACTCTGCATTTTGTCAGCGTCTTCACCAAACAGGACTATGTCATCTGCGTATTCTAAGTCGATAAGTGGACCTCCTGGTAGGAGATCAATGACCGAAAATCCAGTCGACGAGAACGTTATTTCCATCAGTAGGTCTATGATGAAGTTGAACAAAAATGATGATAGTAGACAGCCTTGACGGACACCACTTGAGGTTGCAAAAGCAGATGACAGTTCGCTATAAGTTCTGACTCTACTAGTAGTGTTCGAGTGAAGAGCCTTGACAAGGTTTATGTACTTCTGAGGTACGCCTTTCAATGGCAGACACTGCCACAGAACCTCTCAGTCTACGGAGTTGAATGCTGCTTTTAAGTCAAGAAAGACCATCATTGTCGGAAGCAGATAAGCATGTATGTGTTCTAGAGCCTGACGAATGGTGAATATGTGATCGATGCAGCCACGATCAGATCTGAAGCCAGCCTGGTTTTCTCGTGTTTGTAGTTCACGAGTCTTTTTTAGGCCACCGATAACTATTGAGGGTAGTATTTTAGATGCTATATTAATCAAACTAATCCCTCTGTGGTTATCACAGGATGATTTTGACCGCTTCTTATGTATTGGGACGATAAGTGATTGTAACCAGTCAGATGGGATTACGTCCAACTCCCAGATTGCATCTAAAATAGTAGTCAATCTGATCGCCAAAACTGGACCACCATCCTCAAGAACCTCCGGAGCCAATCCATTTGAGCCAGCCGCCCTTCCTCGTTTCGGATTAGCTACAGCTTTTTGAAGTACAATTAGAGTCAGGGGACCTACTCTAATGTTCCATTCGGATTGTTTGGGAATAGTGGGTAGTTGTAGAGTAGCTGAAGGCCAACGGAACTGCTCCTTAAAGTGTCCCACTCCTCGTTTTTAACGTCTGGATTGAGAGCACATAAGAGTGCGGTCTTTTCCCGAGATCATCTCACTTACACTTGACTCCTTAATTCCAGTTTCTTTTATTAGTATGGAAAGCTGTCTGGTGTTGCCTACAGCCGATGCCTTTTCTATCTCTTCTGCTTTCGTTGCCCACCACTGCTGACGGTCGTTCCTTAGACTTTTGCTTAACCTAGATCTAATTTGTTTACGCTCTTCATCGTGTCCACAGCCTGATGGGATGAGTTTACGAGAATCCATCAGTGCGATAGACTTAAAAGAAATACATTGATTTTTTTGTAACTCTTTGGTTTAAATCACCAACAGATGTCACTGCTGTTTCCACAGCTGCTTGTATATCTTTCCAAGCAACATAATGGTCAGTCTCGTTTTCAGAACTACCTAAGTGTGACCTCAGTTGTTCCTGGAACCTACATTTAGTTTTCTCGTCACTTAATTCAATTCTAATAGGTCTTTTTAGTGTGACTTTTTTGCGTCCAGTGAAGCGCAAGAAGATTCCTCCCCGTATTAAAGCATGGTCGGAGTCCAGGCAGGTATTCCAGAATGAGCGACAATCTTCTATCGACCCTCTCCAACGATGAATGATAGCAATATTTGAGTCCATCGTTGATTTGGCACAAGGGGTGACCATGTTAGACGGTGTCTCTCCTTACGCTTAAAATTAGTGTTTGCTAAAAATAAACGATTGCCTGAGCACATTTGCAGCAGACCATCACCATTAAATGTTCACTGAACCAGGATACTAAAACACCCACGTAAATGTCCTTCTGTTTGGTTTAAGCTAACTACCTGCTACGAGTACTATGTCTGAGCGTTTAGCCTTATGAGGAACTTCAGAAAGCTTTCTGTAAAATTCATCTTTCACTTCATTCGGGCTGCAGTCAGTTGGAGCGTAGGCAGGAATGAGGAAAAGGCGATGACGTGTGTCCCTATCCCTCCGAGTTCTTACGGAGCCGTTAAGCGAAACAGCACATAGATGACTGTTAACGGGGATCCACTTCAATAGTGGTTGTTCTGCCCTCGTACTTAGTGCTATGCCTACACCTGCCAGTCCACGAGAATTAGCCATCGGGTTGCCAGATACACGGAGGGTGTATCTCGTCGGCTCTTTGTTTTAGCTAAGTGAGGTAAAGTGAATGATCACACTAAGATATTGTATGCGTGTTTCGAAGACAGTGTTAACCTTACATCTCTACAGGTCGACAATGTGTCCAAGGTGTATCCACACACATATTAACTGAAAAGGTAGAACACTAAAGATTTAATTTCCCAGTGGAACATACGTTTAAAGGAGCTCAACTCATTCCACGAGAATACTGGATATTAAACCAGTCTAACGTGAAGATAACCAAGAGTAAACTTGAACCAACCTACCTTATCCCTAAAAACGAAGCCCATCTGAAAATTATTACAAGTGCATGAATCCTAATTTAGGTTTTCCCATTCACTATGCTACTAGCTATACTTTCAGCTGACTGGTGAATTAATTACAACAAAGTTAAAACAACCCATTGTATCATTGAATAAGAATAAAGACAAGTGATCTTATTCCAGTATCCAATGAAGATCATAAGCATTCCAAAACAACTTTTGTAGACTGTTGTAATCAATATGTAAACAAAATACTTACAATTAATCGATTACTCACAAAAGAGCATAAGTCTCAATTACCTAATTTTCGGAGAAATCAGGACTTAGTTATATGTCGCCTAGACAAGGGTGCAAGAATTTTCCTTATGGATCGTCTTGACTATGTTACCAAACCATCTTCGATATTATCTGATCCTGTCAAATTCTCCCAAGAAACCGTTCAAAAAAGACGCAACTGAATGAACAGATGCTAATTAAAATCCTAAGGAAGATGAAAGATGAGTTTATTATCATTTGTGACCTCCATGAACATCTTAAACCATCGATTACCGTTATACCAACACTATATGGACTCCCAAAAGTTCATAAGAATCATGTCCCTCTACGTCCTATACGTGATATGAACAACTTTCCGTATCACCTGATTACTGAATGGTTAGCTGATATTTTGCAACCCGTTAAGAATCATATCAACAAATACAACTTTCTTGATTCCTTAGTTGAAATATTAATGTAAATGGTAGGAAAATGATCTCATTAGATGTCACTTCTCTTTTTACAAATGTTCCTCTCACAGAAACTATTTTTTTTATTGTGACTATATTGACTACAATAACCTTGATATTTTTATCGCAAAATATCATCTAAAAGAACTACTTCCACGATGTACACTCAACGTGCAACTTAGATTTAATGATGATTTCTATAGACAAACAGATGGAGTTGCAATACATTCTCCACTGGGTCCACTCTTAGTTGATTGTTTTATGAATAATCTAGAAAATTCGGCACTTCAACCAATAATTTATATAAGAGATATATGGATGATACTTTCATTATTTGTGAAAAAGACATGAACTCAATGAAACTATTGAATAGTTTCAATGATTGTCGCTTCTCAATTCAATTCACTCTAGAAGCAGAGGTAAACAAGGAATTTCATATTCTTGATGTCCGATTGAAAAGAAGACTGGATAGTTTTTTACAGAGATCTATATATAGAGAATAGACATGAAATGAGCAGTACACGAATTTCTATAGCTGGGTCCCGCTAAGTAGAAAGAGGAATTTAATTCACTCTTCATCCTCAAGGATCAGGCGAATATGTTCTACTGATACAATAGATGAGGAACCACTTCAACTTCGATACTCTCATTAGGAACGGTTATCCACCTAGATTGGTCGATAGCAGCTTAACACCTAGATATCATCATGAAAAAGCACCGACAGTACAAAAAAATTTTTATGAATATGGAATTTAAAGGAGATACGACTGGTGAAATCTTAAATAAACAGATTTCAAAATAGTTGAATAAAACGTTCTACGCAGCTAAGCTCTGAATTGTTTTCTCAAACTGGCCAACCATTCGTGGATGTGTTAAAGATAAACCTCCACTTTCGGCCACATCAATGTGTATCTATAAATTTACTTGCTCATATGGGGTAGGTTAAATTGACCACACAAAGCGACCACTCTCTAAACGCATCTCAGAACATTATCTGGCATGGCTTTTAAAACGAGAATGTAAAACAATTACTATTTCAATACAGGAGCATTTAATCAATTGCGGACACATCGCTTCAATGGAGTTTTCTTTTTTAAAATAATCTACACAGTCAAAGAAATCGGATGGAAGGAATGTCGAATCAATATTTTATGTACTGCTGAGGCATTAGCAATCCACGAACTCAAGCCTGAACTTTGCATGGAGAAACGATCCGTTCAATCTCTCATCCTTCCTTGACCCTAATTCCCTTTAGTGGTATGTTTCGATGTGTTTTTTCTCTTTATTTCTCCATTTTTATTTGATTATTGGTTTTTTAAATTAGTGTTATGTCATTGTAGACTCTAATCAGTTGTTATTATTATTACTACCCTTGAACAAGTTTTCTTGATTATTATTCAATTTCTATTATTATGACCTTTATGTTTGTTGTCTTTTCTTCAGATCTGTCAACTGGACAATTATCTGACCCGTTAATTATTTTCATCCTTCTATAACCCCCAGATTATTACGCAACCTTATGTGATATTAGGAGTCTCGAATCCATTTTATGATGTAATCTTTTCTATTCTTCCATAGATATATTTTTTTCATAAAACTATAAATACGAATGTACAGCTTAAGTAAATGATTTTGTCGAAAAGGAACAGAATTTCCTTCGTTGAATTCACTTTATTCTTATTCAATAACAAAGTTGCTTAACAAATTCTGTTGAAATTAGGTTAAACATCTTATTGATCACTTTTATTTTTGAGTTTTATTTTTAACATCGTCGTTAGCTATTTTACTCATACCAGAAGGGTTTTTGTAAATACTCTAGTAATTTCCATGGTTGAAATCATGAGTCAATTGAAGCTAGATCACTATGGAAAGTCTGGACGGCTGCTTCGTCCTATTGTGGGACTCCTCAGCAGTGCGCATCCACGATCCCACCTCGCGAGATTCGAACCCAGAACCTATCAGTCTCGCACGCGAGCGCTTAACCACTAGACCACATGATTTTTTTATTTCGTTGATTCAAACAATTTATTATTGTTGGTGTACAGGTTTGCTAAAATTCAGTTATGCTTATAATATTGAAGTTTCCTATTATGGATTATGTTAAAGATTTCCTCAGTATGATGTGATGTGAATATCATGAATCATAAAAGTCTCATCTTCATCAACTATTTCTCCAAAGTGTAATAACCTGATGGATTTCCCATTTCATTAACGTGAAATTAAAACCGTAAAATATCATAAATCCCTTGTGGTTTTGATTTATAAAATATTTTAAAACCTGAGTAAAATATAAAGCTCCAACATATGATAATTTATTAATCGTAATAAGCGCATAACTGCTATGAGATTGTCTGTCGACCATGAGTATGCGGATGATACCTTACTGTGTAATGATACTCATGTCATGCAACCCACAACCAAACAATTGGGAATCAGGGTCCGTAGGTACCGCTTTCAACCTCCTATGTACAAAGTACTTTTGAAAAACTGACACGCCACTGAACCTGCACTCTCTGGCTAGTAACGGATAGAAGTAGTTGAGAAATTCGTTTATCTAGGTAGCTGTGTAAGTGCGAGTGGCGACATAAGTGATGAGACCAATTCACGTACATTGAAAGTCAGAACAGCTTATACCAATCTGGACCATATTTGGCACCCTCATGATCTTGTTCTGGTTGTGCAAGGTCGGGTCTACAATTCGATAGTGAGAGCAGTTTTACTCTATACTTGTGAAACCTTGCTTCTCCAATTCGAGGATGTTCAGCAACTCTGTGCTTGATTGATGACATTCAGTGACAACACCATGTTGGTAATGAATAGGTTAGGGCAAACTGACAATCCAATTGTATTCACCATCTTAAAATATCGAATTTGATTACTTGTACTCATACTACGAATATCGTCCCAGGGAATTTCACATCGAGCATTATTTTCCGACACTGGGACTGGTTGAAAAAAGCGAAGAGGTGTTTGATGTATGACATGTTGTGGAATGAAAGAAAGCTGAACAGAACTGATATCTGTTGGTCGGAGTCGTAAAGAAGTTCCAACTTAATGACTTGTAACGTATTCAGACATGGCTCAGAATAGAAGCCAATGACAGACCTGTCGTAACTTTCTTTTACTTGCTTTATATAACTGAAAGAAACTTGTTCAACTGAAAGAATCCTTTCTGGTTGTACTTTTCTTAACTAAACTGCTTCTCCCATTAATATTATTATTAACATTCTATCTTTTAAAAACCTCATCTTTATTGTGTGGCGCATACATATGTTGGTGACCTCTTAGATTGACGTTTATATGTTTAAATAAATAAATAATATGAATAATTAGCTATCTATTGTATTCTGAAATAATTGGCATCTATACTCTCTATATTATAACCTGTAAATGTTACAAGTCTCAATCTAGAAGTCTAGTACAACAAATAAACGATGTAAGCCTATTCACATCGAATCCCCCCAAAACTGAATTAATATTCGAACACAACTACTACTAACGAGCAAACCAATAATTAGTGATTACACATTTATGACAGATGAATACAGAAAATTTTTTAACATCATTTAGTAGTTTAACAAAAACAGAAAAGAAAAAAAAAGAAGAAAACAATCTAACGAGTAACGATGCGAAGAAAAAAACGAGAGAAAAAATACTCTTGAAATAGATGAGTAGTAACAAGAAATAGGCTACACATTACTAAAAGATTCAATAAACCGATATATAAATGACAATAATAATTTCCACAAAAACTGATTACTACCATTGGTTGGTTTATCGGCTTTTCAGAATTTAAAACCACAAAGAAAACCACACTAGTGGAAGTAGTAAAAGTATTACATTTTGCAGTAATCTCATTCATCTCTGTCTTCATTTACTAATTAATGAATTCTTTATTTTGGGTAATATGCTCTATAGAATCTATCAGCCAGTATTGATATACGTTTTGTATATTGAATATTATTTTTTGTAGCCCATTCTTTAAGTTTAGTTTCATAATCATTTTTTAGATCTTTTGCAATGTTATTATACTCCTAAAAATTGAATAAATATAACAGTATGGAATAGTTAAAATGATATATGTATATGTATAAGATTAACTTGATAGAACATGACTAGTACCAAAATCTAGGACATGCATTTCATCCCAGTTTGGACTCGTCAAATAGATGTATCTACATTTATCAACATATCTTGATAGTTTCATTAACTTTGTCAGGTTAGCGATTGACGAAACCCCGACAAGGAATCAGGAAGTTCGTTTGATAGTGCCAAATTAAATAAACTCTGATGTAGGCGAGGCATCTGTCTGACAACGAAGGGGAAATTATACTGAACAGTAGTTTTCTCTGTTTTACTTTAGGGTTATGAAACATGGCCTATTATAGTGAGACATATTAGTGGATCACTAGTACTTGATTATAGGAATCTTTGAGGGATTATTCATGTATGCTGGTGGAACAAATTAAACAATATTGAGGTTAAGTGCGGGTTAGTAGTCAAAGATCGCAAGTTAATTGATAAGGTTATGAATCTGTATTAACTGAGGTGGTTGGTCGTACTGCGTATGCTCGAACATCCCCTACATAGACAGATAATGTTAACTGGAGCAGGAACTGGGTTGGAAGTAAGCTAAGAGGGAAATCGAGATACTGCATCAATATATAAAGTCCCTGGCCGTTGGATTGAGCTATGTAGATAGGTGAAGACAACGTGAATAATTTCCGCGCGATAACCGTGATCAGTGGTTGATGTCGGATGAAAAAATTTAGAGTAAGCAACAGCAGAGCATGAACTTGAATTCATACTTTTTTAGTCCTTCGGATCCTGAGTTTCCAAAATAATTAATACAATTCATTCTGCTAATCCATTCTTTTTCTTAAACCTTATTTTTAATGCCTAATCTTTTTTACTATCACTAATACTACTTTGGTATTCAAAATATTAATCTCATCTCGCTATGTTGATGTGACTTGGAAACAGTCGATGCACATTTGTGCAAGGCTGTACGCTGCTTATGACTGATTGACAGAATAAGATCACCAACAATATTAAGTAATGGTATATGTTAGTTTACTCACAGTAAGCCTTTCCTGTTTCTATGCAAACTATCATTATACATAACTGTAGCGAGTAGCTAGGTATCTCTAACACAGATCCTAACAACCTCAACAAATGAAGATTCACAAACGCATTAACCAACTTTTACACCTTTATCTAGAAACTTAAGCCTATCTTCTACATCATTCGCTCGATGATTTTACTGGCTGCGAGCAATGCTTCGAAGACACGTAAGATCGAATACTTGAGACTTACACATATCCTAAACTTCCAGAAGCCAAGTTTCATAGCTATAAAATAGAGAACGGATTAGTGGGCTGTATACTCGCCTTTTGATAAGTAGGTGGATATATTGTCCGTACCAAACCTGAACACACTTTGGTATATATCAAGATTTTGCTACACGATGCTCCTCTAAAACTGGTCATTCCCGAAATAATTGGAGTTTTGATATGACTAAACTATTTTACTTCCTATGGTCAAATTACAAAAAGGAAGCAAAACAAAACAGAAACAATGTTTTGGATATCGATGGGCGATTAGAAAACTTCGTACCTGGTTAGTGACTAAACCAGACATAGCTACGTTAGCCATGTATTTCAAGTCAATCAACATCACTATAGGTAGAAGGTGAATTCAGGAAATTAGGAGAAAATATTATCTTTATGAGCACATCTGTTGTAGTGATTTACTTCTTGTTCTCCTCATTTCAACCTTTCGCTGCCAGGCATTCCACTTTCGATTGGTGCACATACTACTTATGTCTGTCAGTATAAGTAGCATACACCACACAATGATAAAATCAACTGAAAATATGGGAAGTGGGCAGAATTGGCGAGCGCCACTTGATTTAACCAATTCAAATGGAAGTTTGCCTTAAATTCTGACTTGACGGATAGTGGTTTGTATAAAAAGCAATCAGCTGGCTTATGTACTTCTTTGGTAATCGTTTCAACGAGACACTGCTATAAGAAATCACTTAAGACTTCCCCGAAAAATTCAATATTTATTATGCTACTTTCGGATTCGATTCATAATGCTACACCCCCAAACAATAAGAAGTCTATCGGAGGTTAATAAGAGTGCGCATAGACACTGATAAAAGTATTTAATGTTAGAAACAAGACAAATGCTTAGTCAATTAACTGGTCACAACAACTTTAACAAACATTACTAGAACATTACCATTTCAAATACAGAATAACGATGAAAAATACTTCATGCATTAACTTAATTGTCTGCTATGACAAGGAAGGCTTTATAGTTATTTAAACTAAAGAAAAGGATTATGAGAATTCTCATGGTATCAACTTATAACTGTGTGTTACAAGAAAAACTCACAAACACTTTTTTTTACAAAAAAGTGAATAACTATACTCCCAGATATTTTTGAATCCAACAGCAAAAATGGTATTATCTATTATCAACATGGTGTATCAGTTGATCGACTTACCAGTTGATCAGATTCAGGCAGCGACATCCATTGTTTTACAGTATCTTTAAAGTCATTTCGCATTTGAGACACTGGTGTACCCTGAAAAAATAAAAAAAATTACCATGAATAGATAATCATCTACACATATCTGATAGTAGTTAAACACTAATAGTTACAGAGATTGGTTGAAGTGGAGAAGTTAACTAAAAAATTTTTAAAAATCAATATCAGTAAGCTATTACCACCACAATTCTAAAAAAAACATGGGTAGTCATTTAGATGGTGCCAATTTACCCTAGTTTGTACACATAATGATACTGTAAAAAACTTATTCATATTGTGATTAGGTTGAGAAGCATCTTGATCGTTAATAAACCATTCGAACAGTGACTCTTGATACCCATCAAGTAAACGAATGACTACACAATAAGTCACACAGCGATCTCCCGTGATAAATGTTGCATTTGATCGTCATAAGGATCACAGGTGGACACATTAGATACACTATTTTCTTCTGTTCTTATGCGAACCAACAATTATTTAATATGGGGACAATTGATTAGTTAGAAATTACACTGATATGACAGTATTCACTGACAGATTTACGTGCATAGGAAACAATATTTAAGAAATCGGTGCATAAACTTTTAATTATTACACCATAAATCAGTTAGATAAAACTTAGCAGAACAAACGTTAAATCACTAAGCGAGAAGTGTAGTTAATAGTAGAACAACCCCAGCCAATTAGTAATACTCAGGAAACCAGTAATGTTAGACAGTATTGTTTATTCGAAAGGTTCACAAGGATGTACCCAAAACCAACAATTCGGAGATAGGCATGAGTAGATATGAGATTAATCATAGTTGAAAATGGACTCAAATAAAACGTATCTCATTTTTGAAGTACCTACTACAATCACGTAATTATCCACATACCTATATATTCGACTACCAGGAACAGGCAGCTGAAAAGTTTCCCTAAGACCGTTTACAGCACTAGGTCAAGTGTACATGTATGGGAGAAGTTGTCAAACGAATATTATCATGATTTCACTTGAAATATTTAGCCTGCTACTGTAACAGAAGTAAAGACACGTTATAACTTAAGACGGAATTTTCCCAAAGATGAAGAGACCGCGGCAGCATCGTACCAATTTATCTAGGTCCGAACACGTATGCTAGCAGAGTTCGAGATGAGAAGAAAGTTAGGATAAGTGTAAATTCGTTAAGGCTATGAGTAGATAAGGAGACAAGTAAAAGCTATTTAGTCTTAATAATTACACCAGGCAGGAAAACGCGATGGTTACTAAAGCTATCACCGAATACGAACTACCGAGAGCTTCTTGGAACAGGTACATAAAACCATGAGCGCCCTAGTCAAAACCGTAATAAGATGATAAAATCACACCCTGTCCTAAACATGCAGCGAAGTTAAGAAGGCTGTGAGAAACCAAAAAGGTGAAGCTGAATGAACAAAAGGTACATTTTAGCTCATTTTTGAGATTGACGCTCAAAAAATTCTAGTCAGATTAACCGAGGACTGTCCCAATAGATTGATCTCGATTATCGATAGTTTCGGTTTCTGGAAAAAACCAAAACTGTCTTGTAATAGTGACAGAATAACCAGTTCGATTTACGCAAATATTAAAGCCTTACCATTCAATCATTCGAACATCGTTTACTGGAGAGTATAGGAACATCAAACTTATTATGTATTTATTTATTTATTTGATTAGTTAATTTATTTAATTAATTAATTAATTTATTTATTTATTTATTTGAATACATAAATATTGGTACAAAGGAGAACCAAGTACATATGCGCCACACAAGTCGCTTGGTTTTGTGTGTGGGCTATGATACTGCCCGGGTGCCCAGATCGAAACAGGTGATATTCTTAAGGGACCACACCCGGAGCCTTTGACCTAAAGGTCTGATCCACAAGGTAGTGGAACAACGTCTGGAGATGCAGTCCCATGGTAGCCGGTCACCAACGATTGGTTCATACGTCATTTGTTCCTTCAGGATCCTGGAGCCCATGTGCACCATTGGTTTGAAATCAGGGTTTTTTAACTCCCCTAGGTGGATCCTCCATATCCACCAACCCGGTTAAAGCACTAGACATTCGCTTTTCATCCTCTCAATTTCGTAAACACCGCTGCCACAAGGCAGTGAGTAGGACTTTCCTGGCAGTGGCTATATACGCGTGGCCATGTGAAAACATTTCGACAGGGAGAGCGAACCCTCTCCGACCTCGGCCGTACCAGCGCATTTGGGGGCCCAGACTTACAAATTCAAGCAAATTTAAAATAGTCTTTCACATACTTCAAATTTACTTCGTCTTTAAATCGACATCGATAAAAAAGCCGTAAGCCTCGGTGACCTGAAAATTATGTACTCATAATAAGCCTGATAAACTTTAACTTGAAGCAAGCAGCCAAGAAGTGGGAATTAAACGAATAAATGTTTACAGAATTTACCGCAAACAATAACTGAAAACATTCAAAATCTAGTACGTAGATCTACTTATAGAGTTCATACGAGTTACCTAAAGCGTACTTTGTTGAAACTTATAATAAAAGCAGATTCTATCAATTTTTCTTAAATAAAACGCTTTCACTTACAATACACAACATAGGATATTTCATTTCAAATGTCCAGAGCAAAATAAAAACAAGCTACTATTGACCAACAGTAAAAACGTATTTTTTTATACTCATACAATCATAAAGGCCTTTATCACTCAATTCCAAATTCAGATACATGCTTTTAGACTACAAGATTAAAAGACGAATTTGGTGTTCATCTTGTTGTGCTAATGAGGTGTGGCAACTTGGACCGATGCATATATGTGCCTGGTCCCACGTTGCAGTTGACTGACTGATTGACAAGAACCTAAATATTACAATATACACAGGATTTTTAATCTCGATGAAATGGTTTCATCTAAATAATAACGGTGACCTACCTTAGAATCCTTTAGTTTTTCTCTCATGAAAACTTTGAGTCCAGAGTTTGGTGGACTTTTTGGCATTCCATTACGATAAGCAAACTAAAATTGCCACAGTGAAAAATTATTTCATAACATATAGCAATAAAAATACTCCATAAGAAAATTGAAATGAAAAAGAGCAGTGTACAGGTATTGAATGAAATTGAGAAACAAAATACCATGTTCGTGATTGGATTTTAACTAGTGATATAGTTATTTTCAATCTCCATGGATAGAGAAATCAATCTACTGATTGAAACGATGCTAGATAATATTTTTAAAGCTTCATACATCATGCTACTAATAGAAAATAGTGATTATCAACGAAGTTGAAAAACATTTTAGTGTCACACTGAAATGTGAATGTACAATAAACGAGAAATATGAGTTACTGATAAACGTAGAGTGATAACTAATACAGACATTCCGCTAGTTTAAATACCAATTTTAGTTACACTAGAATCGCTAGTAGACTACCCAGTATTTTATATGGTTCAAATTAGTAATCAGATTAGTATACCAAACCAAACTCCTGAAGTTTAACTTTTTTGGAATAAGTAAAGAATGCAAAAACACTTTATATATGATAAGATACATGTGGTATTTAATAGCAAGAGCGAATTCATTTAAGTTTCAGTTTGCCTTTACTATTCTGATTTCTGAAAAGTATTAATTATATCACAGTAATTTCAAAGGATGAATCTAATGTTCATGTTAGAGAGACACTGAATATCTTAAATCCAAATTTCCATTGAGAAACAAATATCAAGAATTCAAATAAAAACTGTGCACGGGGGTATACTTACTACTGTTTCATACCAACCTTGTTTCACTAACCGATGATATTCGAAGCGTTTTGTATAGTCATATTGCGATTGTGAAATAATATGACTAACTATCGGTAAACAGGAAAGAAAACTGTTTTAAGTTTACAGTTTATATCTCAACAACACTACAAACACCAACAACTATTCCCCGCAACAAGAACAGAGCGACGTTACCATTTACATCCTTAAAACCAACGGTAAGAAAAATATTAAATTCTTTCAGATAACAAATCAACAAGTGATAAATCAAGAGAATAAACAGTCAAAAATATAACCTTGGTCGCTTTTTTGACATGAGATTGATGTTCTTTCGCTTCTAATTTTAACTTTTCTACCTCTTCAACTGGAAGTGATTTGTACAACTGTGCTAACTTTCTGATCACATCATAATTTGATAGCTCCGGTTTTGCGGACTTGACCTCACGATATCTCGAGTGAATGAAATTTGTAAACGCGTTACTGTTGTTATGAGCTGAAGTTGATGTTATCTGTCGCAAAATTACAAAGAAATTGCTACACAATGAAAAGAAATTTGGCTTACTTGATTGAAAACGGAGAAAGCTGCATGTAATTGGAGCGAAAATAACTTTGAGTAGCAGGTTTAATGCTGTAACAAGAATTCAGAGACTGGATTTGAAGACTAAAATTAGGTTCTGTCAATTCACAAACCGATGTGTAGTCATCCCAAATAAGCCCAAAATCTACTGAACTACATGCACCAAAGGCGGAAGGAGCGACTTCAAAGAGGTCTGTAAGAAATAACAATCCAGGAAAGGTTTCTCCTGTGCCATGCACTCCAAGTGGGAGCAGTCAGGAGACACCTAGAAAACCTAATCCGTAAAGCTAGGTCCGTTTCCAGCACAGAAAACAACCTGGTCACCTAAGTCATCGACAATAATTGAGGATCTCACAGTATGTTTAACGTAACTGTGATTGTAACTCTAGTGAAAGCTGATGGATGGATACAAATCAAGAATAAGAGACGACGTAATAGTGATAAAAAAACAGTCTCCTGAACAGTAGTTGAGAAGGCTGATCATAGTGACAAGGTAGTCATCTTTGAGAGTCAAGGAGAGTGAAAGCTTTGAACCTAGAAACTGCTTTGACCATGACATTGAGTTGATAAGAAGTCTAATTAACCAACTAGTGTATGAAGATATCTCTGGGGCCGCCTTACTGAAAGTTTAACAACTAGGTAGCCAAGCAGACTTGAAAGAAAATCAAACTAGGCTGTTGAAATTAGTATTTCAATACCAATGAAAGGGATACGGAGGGTCTACCTAGGGGAGTTGGAAAACCCTGATTTCAAACCAATGGTGCACATGGGCTCCAGGATCCTGAAGGAACAAATGGCGTATGAACCAATCGTTGGTGACCGGCTACCATGGGACTGCATCTCCAGACGTTGTTCCACTACCTTGTGGATCAGACCTTTAGGTCAAAGGCTCCGGGTGTGGTCCCCTAAGAAAACCACCTGCTTCGGTTTGGGTGTGCGGATAGTATCCCAGCCCTCACACAAATCGTATGGTTTATGTGGGGCATATCTATTTGGTGCCTCGTACCAATGTTTATGTGTTTAAATAAATAAGTACAGAGAGACTATTGTTTCGGGTGTAATCCCCGTTACACGGTGAGAGAACTCCATTTACTCTACAGGAATACTTCGATCTTTCGCTGCAGCCCAATCTTCTCTTACAATGAGCAGATTTGTCGAGCATGATAGGCCTTTTAAATAAACCGTTATTCCCTGGATAAAATATCATGCCTTTCCACATAGTTTATAACAGCCATCCATTAGTTTTACAACTGTACTGGTTAGACTAACGGGACGATAGTTACTAAGTCTCTGCTCCCTAATGTACAATCCTTGGTCCTCTTTTTTTTAATTTTATGTAAATGAATTACTAACTGTAACAAAGTTAACCGTCCTACTCTTCGCCGATGACAAAGATTTGGAGACCCATAAACAGTATGTCAGATAGGATAGTAATACAGGATGATCTCAATTCATTGTTGGAAGGGCGGGTGGCCACTAGAAGTAAGTTGTGTGGTGATGCAACTAAATAACTACGATTAATCATAACACTACACAATACGTGGAGTTGTGTTGCCCAAAGTAATGGGCTATAAAGATTTAGGAGTCATAATAAGCAGTGACCTCAAAACTACGAGCAACTGCAAGGCTAATGTTGCCAAAGGCTTTAGGGTATTATGGGCTATTCGTAGGTCGTTTCAGTACTTGGAAGAAGAAATATACAGAGTATTATACCCGACTTTCGTGAGACACCATTCGGAATATGGGATTCAAACGGGAAGTTTAGTCCTAACGTGATTTGGATTCCTCAAACTTTTGCTGTGTTACTACGCAACAAAAGTATCATTTTTGATCTAAAGAATCTATTCTAAGCTATATGTTCTGTAGATTACTTTTTTTCGAGTTTCACCCAACTTAATAGTTAACTTTGGTTTTGCCTCAGCTTATTGCTCAGTTTTTCACGTAAAGGCTAGTTCAGTTTATCACATCAGTTTTTGTCCATTTTTGCCCGTTTTTAGTGTATTTTTTAACGGTCTTAGGGTTTCTCTAGCATCTATAATACAGTTTACGTAAATATAGTCATCAAAAATTCATGCAAACGACCTTGATGCCGTTTTGTTCTTACATCTGACACGCCGTGCGATAACTGCAAAGGTTGGTTCCATGAAGCGTGCGCCGATCTCACAGCAACTGCTTACCACAGACTCAACAAGTCGGATCATAAGTGGGTGTGTTACGTGCAACACGGATGCTGTAGTTTTGCTGAGTAACATCATTGTCCTATTGAAAGGTCTGCGGAATAAGTTGTCAGCAAACTTGGGAAAAGTCATAAAACGAGTAGACAAACAAGGACGCGCAATGAAAACAAGAATAGGGATGTCGACAGGTCTACTATCGATGAAGCATGCATTAGCACTAGTGATGACATGCTGAAACTCGGCACTATCATAACTTCGACGGTAATAGACTCCCTCAGCAAAATCGGGTCTCCCAGCTCAGGGTCCTTGAAAGCAACAGTGGGTCCCGAAAACTCTGTAGGTGATTGAACCCACGTTAACAAAGCTAAAAAGGACCAGGCGTCACCGTCTAAGCTGAACATCCCAAGTATTGTACGGAAATCAACTGGTGATTTCCCGCACAGTCTACCCCCAGGAATTTCCATCCGGTTATCAAAGAGCCTAGGAATCAGAAACGTGCTTCGACCTCCAAACAACAAGGTGCTGAACCTGAACGCACCGGAAAACCTGGGAAAACAATAACGGTTCGTGATGACTCTCTCATAATCATGAACCTCAAAGACAACCCTGACCTTCCCCTCAGTTTGCAGGACAAAAATGACAGGATGCTCTGGGGAGAATTGAACAAGAAGCTTGAACTTCCTAGAATAGAGCCTTTGACGGTGACACGGCCCACTCGAGGAAAGGAATCTAAGCAACAAAATCACCCGATGCTACTTCGTGTTACACTCGCTAACGCTACCGACGCAGAGGATGTGCTGCTAGCTAGTCATTTACTGAAATCCGATGGGAAAGTAAGAATACTGCCCAACATACCGTATTCTGAGCGCAGTCTCATCCGGAACATCCCTAAAGAATTTCGGAAGTTTTTTGCAGAAGAAATATGATTGTGCAAAGTGTACCGGAAAACACGAACCCTAGTCAAGCAAACTCTGATATTAAGGAATGGATATTCATCAAGCAGTCTTTGAGGCTCAAAAACATACTAACTCAACATGTGACGAGACTAGCCAAGAAGGACGGTGATTCTAGACCCCGGCTAATGAGGATAGTTTTCCCATCCTCCCATATGGCGGCTGCAACTCGGGAAGCACTTCGTGCCAACAGACGTCGGTTGCCAACTGGAATCCATATGCAGTCAGTCAGTCAGTCAGTAACAACGTAGAACTTCGTACGTATGCACCCGGAAGAAGCTCACGCGTTTCAAATTGAAAGCATAAACTACTTATACACGAGCGCCGCGAGTCTACCAAATAAAATGGATGAGCTACGTGAACTTAGCAATGCTAATAAGGTTCATCTGATAGGAATATCTGAAACTTGGATATCTTCTCAGTTTACGGACCAAGAACTAGCAATACCTGGGATGTCTTTGTTTCGCAACGACAGAAAAACAGGGATTGGAGGTGGAGTAGCCGTATGCATACGATACTGCCTGGAGGTACACCAAGTTCACAACCATGAGTTCAAAAATCTTGATGAACCTGTATGGTGCTTTGTAAGATTGTCTACTACTTCAAGGTGCCTAGTCGGGGTCATCTATGGGAAGCTCACTGCTGACATCGAGTATAACAGTCGTATGCTGGGAGGACTATCCCGCTCTACGCGTCTCGGATTTACTCATATCCTGATTCTAGGGGCCTTTAATCTCCCTAGAGTCAATTTCGTGGAACATACGTATATTGGAGGTGAGAACTCAACTGAAGCTCGGTTCTTCAACATCAATGAGGATCTGAGATCACACGAGAATGTGAAGTCGGCAACCCGCTGGAGAGACAGTCAGATACCGTCGCGCTTAGACTGGGCATTTACAAACAAAGAACTTCTAGTTGACAACCTTTCAATCCTGGCTCCCCTGGGAAAAAGCGACCACACCATTATAGTCTTCAGTTTTGTCAGCAAAACTAAGCTAAGATATCCCACCAACAACAGGTGTTGGAATTCCAAACGGTTGAATGTGTCAGCTCTACAGGACTATCTACAACATGTGGATTGGGATGTTCACCCTCAATTTGATGTAGATGCTCATTGTGACTTCTTACTGCACACGCTCTTATGTGTTACAAAGCAGCCAGTCCCCCAAACGGTCCCCAATAGCTACAAGCAACCTACAATCATCAAGAACCGCGCTCTCCGCTTGCTAAGCCGCAAAAGGCAGTGTTAGACAGAATACAAACGAACTGACAACAACGGCGCGTACAGACAATACAAACATATAAGGAACATATGCACAAAGGCTATAAGAGAAGATAGGCTCCAGTACCAGATAAAGCTTGCGGATAAATTCGTCTCCAATCCGAAAAGCTTACTCCGCTATGTAGCCTCTCTTCGTCAAGCCAAAACTGGAGTTTCCCAGCTGCTAGGTGCTAATGGCCCGACCAATAACGACGGCAACGTCGCTAACCTTTTGTCTAAACAATACTCTCGGACATTTCAACCGACCCACATCAACTATACTGATGACAGCTTCATCTGCAACTGCATAGGACTTTCTGAAGTGAACCTGAGCGCTGACTTGATGTTCCGGAAACTACAGCACCTGAGAAAAGACACTTCTGGCCCAGACATGGTTTATTCTGCTATATTGAGAGAAGCAGCTTCAATCCTGGCAACACCGCATAGCGTGATGTTTTCACACACGCTAAGCTGAGGAAAACTACCGGAAATTTGGAAGCTGGCTAACATCACACCAATTTTCAAGGTAGGTCGACGCAGCGAACCTCCAAGCTACTGACTGGTGGATCTTCTCTCTATACCTTCAAAAATTATGGAGTCCCTGATATGCGATGGTATATATGACTACTTACTGTCCTTATATTTCTTCTCACCCCAAGAGCATGGTTTCACGAAGGGTTACTATTGTATAACCAGCCTGCTGACTGCGGTGGACAGATGGACAAACATCCTTGATCGCAAGGGGAAGGTTGATATCATTTACCTTGATTTCTCAAAAGCTTTTGATAGGGCCAACCATGTGTCTTATCAATAAGATCAAACGATTGGATATCAGATCACGTCTAATTGATCGGCTCATTTCATATCTGAAAAATCGATATTTTAAGGTCAGGGTTAACTTCGCTTTATCTCAGGCTATGGAATGTCCTAGTGGGGTCCCCCATGGCTCAGTACTAAAACCTCTTCTTGATTTATATAAATGACCTTCCACAACAGACAGAACATCAAATTACTTTTTGCTGATGACGTGAAAATTTGGAGAGAGAGAGAGAGACACGCAGCCAATAGGATATACAGGCACTCCAGGAGGATCTGACTTGACTTCAAAGTTAGGCAGACGATAACGGACTTACCTTTAACACTTCAAAGTGTAAAGTAGTACATCTACGACATGTTGCAGACTACAGTTACAACTTAAGAAACTCCTCTCTAGTAGTATCCCGAGTCAAAAAAGATTTAGGATTCCCAGTACCCTACGATTTAAAGTCCTACGCTAACTGTGACAGAAATGCCTTTCGAGCAAACCTTGCACTGATAACATTGAAGCGCATTCTTGGCCAGTTTGACGGAAGAGCTTTCTACATAATCTTCAACAGTTTTATTCATCCCCATTTAGAGTACGGAAACAGTATCTCCACCCTCACTCCAAAAGGATATGGACACTCTGGAGCGTACCCAACGGCAAGCCACGAAATCAATTCGGGGACTCAAATTCAAACCTTATGGAGAGCGCCTCCAATCACTTGACCTTTACCTATTTGAGTATAGGCGTCTTAGAGGTGACCTTCTAATAGCTTACAGTATCCTTAACACTTCTGGACATCCGCTTAAACATCTACTTAAGCTTAGTCCCAATACAAACCTAAGGGGTAACACCCAGAAATTGGAGATACAGCATAGCAGAACGGACTGTAAACACAATTTCTACTCCTTAAGAGTTATCAAATTCTGGAATTAGCTGCCAGCTAATCTAGTCCAAGTAACTCCTCAGGAGTCCTTTAAGGGAAAACTTGACCTATTCTTAAGGACTAAGGATAACATCTTATTATGATTTACCAATTTCTTTTTTTCCTCTACTATCGTTAATATACCTGGGCTCCTATCTGGAGGTTTTGGTGATCCATTGCTACTAGACACGGAAGCCCGTTAAGTGAAAGCTTCTTCTATTCCGTCCACAACCATTTGAAGCAGCGAGCCCTTGTTTCAAGCATGGGGCGGATATGCTCCAACGAGTATAACGACGAGAGACTGAAATGGTCTTTCCGGTCTATCCCAGTCTCCCTATTTCAGGGAAAATTTTGTCCATTTTGGGTAAGTTTTGGCAAAACTGTAGTAGGAAACTTTGATGAAATAGCCCACAAACTCCGATCGAAATTTCCCCAGAATCGTACAACACTTTGAGGTTTTTCCCAAAACTTTGCGGAAACCCACCTAACTTTTCACGAATTAGGGAAAAAACCCAAAATCCACCCAAAAGACCCCAAACTTTTCCCAAAATAGCGATTTGAATTGGAAGACTCAGAGCTCATGTAGTGTTACAAACGAGGCTTGGAGAGGAAATTTTCCTTCTGCTCAGATATATCATAAAAAATTTACAACACGTAGCCAATTACTAAGAAAATAAGTGACTTAGAGGCATCATGTGAAATAACGACAACAACACACCCTTTCGTACCAATCAATTAGATGACCTACACAGAACCATTCATCGACTTTGTAGGACAAACAAAGTAACGACAAAAAAGACTTCGCGCACTATTCTTGTAAGCAGTATTCATGGTACTATGATGATTGCAATTCTCTTTCAATACGTAAATTAACGTAAATTCTCGATGTAATCTGTGATGATAAGTATTGCTCTACATTCAAGTCAAGTGAATATCTAATTAAGCACCGTATACTTCGCTCATAAGTTTTTATCGTTGTAAATGTTTCGTTAACTATATACATGGCAAAATTGTGCTTTTTTCATCACTTTCCAGGGCCGAATCGATTTGTGTTGGTAAACAAATCCTCAAAATCAATAGTCCTGTAAGTCTTCGAGTGGGAACGCCGTGCTCAACACCTACTGCAATCGCTATCCAGATTCGATCAGTCGATCCACGATATATTGATAGTCTATCAAATATATCTTCTAACCTCCTCGCTTCTGTATCTTGATTTCTCTTGGTGGGTATGAGTTATATTAGGTGTTACTGGTTAAAGCGTTGTTAAAAACTGAATACTTGTGGCATCTTCGAAAGCGATAATATACAGAAGTCCAAAAAGGAACCGACATACAGTTTGCAATTTGGTGTACGGGATCACGTCGGGATTACCAATGAAAATACCATAGGTGTCCGGAGTTGGACAATGCTTTAACCAGTAACACCTAATATAACTCATACCCACCAAGAGAAATCAAGATACAGAAGCGAGGAGGTTAGAAGGTATATTTGATAGACTGTCAATATATCGTGGATCGACTGATCGAATCTGGATAGCGATTGCAGTAGGTGTTGAGCACGGCGTTCCCACTCGTGATCTGGTGCGGATGCATGACCGAGCGCCTTCAGCTAGGTGAGCCCAGTAAGACTAATGTGGTCAGCATCCAATGTCGAAAATTTACAGAGCTATTTATTTTGGAGATTTATTTACCGCTACAGATCACTCCCCTCCGGTGGGGTAGTGATGACCCCAAGACGTGGCCAGCCAGACGTTTAAACCCAACGAGTTTGTCGTTGGTAAACACTCTTCTGATAGCTTACTAAATTTAGCAGCGTCTGGTCGTCTTTCCTTACTATATGGGACCGAGGTACAACATAGTAAAAAAAGAAAATGTACAATGAAAATTTCGGATCCTCATAAACGTCATCGTTCTTTTCCAGCCGTCCTGGAAAAGAAAAAAGAATATGTAAGTGCATGTCGAAATAAACTCGTACGCGCTTTAAGACACAAAATGGGCGAAAAAGTGTAAATAACGTAGAAGCGATTTTTACAGAATGTTTTTTTTGTTTTTTAATGTTTTAAAAAAAACTTTTTAATATACATATTAGCCAAATGATACATATAATGCCATGGAAAATCAAGATGAAACAAAATGTCAACTAGTGTCTTACGTGCAATAGTCATTTAAATGTTTTGAAAATCTTACTCTTCTTCCAGAACGCGTTGTTTTAAGTTTACTTTCAGATACTGTCGAAGTATCATCGTGCGTGTTGGTTGTCGGATAAGGTATTATAAATGTTAGAGTCATGTCGTTCGATTGTACCGGAGGAAAATCAACGTAGATAGGATTTCCTTCTAAATACGCTGCTTTGAGGCGATCGATGTTAATCCTATCATTCGTTCCGTTCCTATCGATTATATAGTACTTCGGTTCGTGTTGAAGAACTTAGAAAGGTCCTTCGTATGCGGATTCGAAAGGTCGTCGATGCGACTCTCGAAGTACGAAGACGTGTGTACTATATCGTAAGTCAGGTTGAACGAAAACGTCAGTTGATTAAGGTCGAGTGGAAACAGGTTTAACTGAACGCGTTGCGTTTGTAAGCCTGTTCGTGTAGGAGTTTATATCCATGTTCATTGAAGAGATCGAAGGATCCACGAATTCTCCTGGAAGTCGAAGTGTCGTTCCATAAACCAGTTAAGCTGCAGTGTACGCAATGTCAGCTTTCACTGCATTGCGAATAGATAGTAAGACGAGTGGGAGAGCGTCGGTTCACTGTGAGACGTTTGCAGCTGATAGTGACGCTTTTAGTTGTCGGTGAAAACGTTCTACCAACCCGTTTGCTTGTGGGTGGTAGGCGGTCGTTCGGAAACGATTGATTCCTAAAAGTGTGGTCAGACGACGGAAAAGTTCTGGTTCAAACTGACGTCCGCGGTCTGTAGTGATGGTTGAAGGGCAGTCGAAGTTTGCCACCCATCGTTCGACGGTGTGGGCCACTGTTTCAGCAGTGATGTCCTTGATAGGTACTGCTTCTGGTCATCGAGTGAAACGGTATACGTAGGTTAAGAGATAAGAGTATCCATTTGAATCTGGTAAAGGTCCTACCAAATCGAGATGAACATGGTCGAAACGAGCATCGGTAGTTTTAAATGAGCCTAAGGGGCATTTATTGCGTCTGATAACCTTAGATTTTTGGAAGCTTAATCAGGAGCGTGCCCATTCCCTCACGTCTTTATTCATGCCAGGCCAGCAAAACCGTTGTGCTATAAGCTTGATGGTTGCACGAACACCTGGATGAGAAGGTTTGTGCAACCTATTGTAGACGTCGCGTCGACAACGTTTCGGCACAATTGGGCTATCCCTACCCGTAGATATGTCACAAAGTAAGGTTTCCTTACATGTTCCCATCTGTTCGAAGCGTAGTTTGAGGGTTGTAGACGATAACTAGTGCTGAGGATCAGTGTCTTCTTTTTGAAGCTGGGCAAGTTTTAGAAGGTCGATTCCTTGGAAACTGTTCAAGGAAATTATTCGAGACAAAGCGTCTGCAACTAAATTGTTTGCTCCAGAAATGTGTTGGATATCTGAAGTAAACTGCGAAATGTAGTCTAATTGTCGATACTCACGAGGTGAGTACTTGTCTAGAAAAGAGCTTAACGAGAAGGTAAGCGGTTTGTGGTAAGTGAAAAGGGTAAATTCACGGCCTTCGATATAATTTTGAAAATGTCGTACAGCACAAAACATAGCTAGTAGTTTCCTACCGAATGTGTTTTACCTCAATTCAGTGTCTAGCAACCGTCTAGAGAAAAATGCCGAAGGTTGCCAGGAGTTGTTAACCCAATGTTGTAAGACTCCTCCGATTGCCGAGTCGGATGCGTCTACCACGATGCTAATGTGTGCTTCGGTGTACTGATGAGCAAGCATTGTTACTTTAGCGATAAGTTCCAATGACCGGTTTCACTAATCGGCTTTAAACTTACAGGCGGCATACGGAAAGCCTATCGCTACGTATGGCAAAAGGTACGTTTACCTTAAAGTGGATTTACGCAAACCCATTCACTGGATCTTCGTTGTTGCAGATGTTTCTATGCCAATCGTTGGTATGAACCTTCTACAACACCATAATCTGATCATCGATACTCGCAAACGGAGGCTAGTAGACGGAAACACTGATTTATCCATTTGCGTAACTTCTTTTTCTGGTTGCAGATTATCCCCAGTCACAATTAAGCATACGATAGACCTACTCTATCAACCACTACTCGATAAGTATCCTGGGATACACCAAACGCAACCGAAATTGCCGTGTGTAACCAGCGTTACGCATCACATCACGACTACATGACCATCTGTATTCTTGAAATCTGGCCGACTAACTCCTGGAAAGCTGGGGTTGATCAAAAATGAATTCGACCATATGATAGACTTGTGAATTATCCGGCTATCAAACAACCCTTCGGCATCTCCCTCGAACACGGTTCTTAAAAAATAAGGCGATGTTTGGCGTCCAATCGGTGATTACCAAAGACTGATTACGAAAAGCACTCTCGATCATTATCCCTGACTCACATTCAGGTTTTGACGGCTACCATAAAATGTACAACAGGTTTTCCGAAAAGCGATCTGACTGAAGCATATAACTAAATTCTCTTGGCTGTAAACGACATCCCAAAAACCGCTAATATCACTTCTCCCGAACTCCACTAATTTTTTTTTATGCTTTTCAGCTTAAGAAATGCTGCAAAAATTTCTGGATACCCATTGATGACATCCTTCGAGGTGTCAGCCCCGTACATGCATGTATATATTGCCGCTTGATAGCAAGTCAGGACAAATAGTCTCATCTCCATCATTTGTATCTTGGTTTAGTACGATTACAAAAACACTTCATTACTTTAAACATTCAGAAATGTCGAATCGGAACCGACTCCATAGATTTTCTCAGATATATTATTGACGCTCAAAGTATTCACCTTCTAAAATGCAAAATGGACGCCATTCCGGATTATCCAGATCAGATAATAATAATAATTTATTCTCAAATAACAGTTTGTTACATGAGGCATGCCAGTTTACAGGCAAGATCAAATTGTTACAAATGATACAATATCCACTGTAGTAAATTACTCAGCTGGGTTGATAATTTAAAAGATATGAATGTAGATGGTTTTAGTCAGTATCACAGTTGGCGCGCTTCATGAAAGTTGAGTTGCAACTGATGGCCAAGGATAGATCCATTGAAGGTGGAAGCTTCTAGAAACCACGACCTTATGTCCATTTGGAATATTTAAGGCTTCAAGAATGGTGCAGGATGAAGTCACCCGTTCCATATCTCAATGGGGCTGAAAGAGGGAGCAAGTAAAAGAAAGGACGAGAGGCAGAGTAGCCAATATTCATGAAGGAATTTCTAAGGTATGATTACTCAGTCTAATTTTCTTTTATTAAGGTATTTGTTGAGCAAGAGCATTTTAATAGGTTAAAGGAAATAGATGTAAACAAGGTATGAGTGGACATACAACTGACAAAAGGAGGCAATTCAGAAAGCAGCTGAAAGTATGGGATTATGCGTGGTTATGAAATATAGTGCGAAAAACAGTATTGTGATATATAATTGACTATCTTCCTTTTTATCGAAGCTATTGGAGCCCTTTCCATCTTTTTTTGTATTATTTTTATTTTATTTTTTTAGGTACCATAGGGTCTTGAGTAGGCTTAGTATATTAGCGAATTGTCTAGTTTGCTTGTAATAGGATTACTGGGCAGGAAGAGAAAACAATTCAACTTTCGTAACACGATTTAAAGAGGTATTTTGCATGATAAATCAGCATTAATATCTTAAG